TAGGTGGTACGTGATTTGTCGTCTACGTCATATCTCACTGGATAATATCGTTGGAACACGTACTTCTCTCAGTATATACGACGAGGTCTTGATTCTTTGGTTCGAAGTTCGCGCGTAAAAACTTTCAGTTTACACCACTGCGTTGCGCTTCGTGTCGTCCAATCAGCGAGCAGTAGTCGACTGCGTTATGACGTCAGCGACGCCGATTGGCCGACACGGGGCGGAAGAAAGAGCTACCAACTGTAATTTTCTGCATAAAGTTCAGATGGAGAGAGTTACATACTTTTACGTCTTTGTACGTCAAACGAGAAGATAAATGACCGTGTTAACTATTCTATTATAGTCAAGATCCAGACGAGGCATGTATGTGCGTTTTATGCAGTTATCACCAAAGGCTCGCAACGTGAATCAGCTGGGCTCAATAAAGCTTCACTAAAAGAACAAAAAGTTGTAAGACGCCACTGCTGCAAATGATAAATCGGGGAGGTACTTAACGCAGTCTGAACACGGCCAATTTGGGATATGTGGACAGTTTTACTAGACCGTGTCACCGGAGTTCCCTTCCCCGTTACGGCCGTTGGTCCGCTCAGTGTAGGGCTGTCGTTTCCGCCATATTGAATTACCTTACGGCTAGGCGCGCTTGCGCCCGGAGTCAGACACGAGAAACAACTCTCGATATTTGATTCTTGTCCTCGATAGAAGTCGAGTCAATATTCGACTGTCGGTTGCAAAATACGTATACCGAGCAGTTAAATAAGAGGAATGGTGAAGAATGCTTCATCGTAAGGTTCATTCCGGCAAGTACTTTAAGACGCGCAGACGTTCTCGAATGATTTCTTTTCTTCCTAAATATATCCATAAATATTAGAATATTCCGGAAATACTCTGCGTCTAATGGTACTGGTTTAGAATCTTATGCAAGTAACGTTACCATCTTATCTGTACCCAGAAGTCGATGAGTGAGACCCATTTTCCAGCCATTTTTACATTGTCCATTGTTCACCGTAGATCTATGGTAATTTTTCCGCAATCAATGGCGCCAGTCGTGCAAAAAGGTTCATCGTCCCTTTTCTTTCGTTTCTCCTTTCCCTTCAAAGGAAAGTGAGGGGAAGTCGGTCATGTTATTTCAGGGGCAGAAAGCGAATAGATGGAAGTAGATTCCTGTTATATCACCTGCCGGCCATCATATCGAACTACCTAGGTAGCAAAAGTTGCTCTTACACGGAATCAATTGAAATGCGGAACACACATTACAGATAAATACCATCGGTCTGTCGCAATGCAGTTCCATGATTTTAGACATATTACGTGCCAATTTTATTATAGTAAGTATATTTTAAATAATAGAAGAAACTAATGCAATACTATATTGCTATAAAGATTCATTAATATTTAAAAAATACATCTATTCGATGTTCTTTCATCGGAGTGAATTGGTTGGTTAAATACTTTTTGCATAAAGCGGCAAAAATATCTTTTGCCTTTCAATGAGTCTGACGTAACACAGACGAAGTTATCTTTTCAAAGAGGAAAAATCTTACGTAAGGAAGTCTTTTATTATCTCGATTCTCCTCGTGTCAGAAATCGTGAGAAATTCGGATTCCACTTTTATACAAAATTATGTAATACAATTTTTACATGAAATCTAGGACTTTATTCTTTTTCATCGCACATGTGACCAGCAATTTTATTTGTCAAAACGTTCGCGTCCATGTTAACTACTGAATAACACTCCACCGCCTTATTTAAAAAGCAATTTAAAAGTAACAATCGGTTGTAATCGAAAAGTCACGTTATGTATGTAGGGCAATACTGACGTAATATTCACGTCCATGTTTACTTGCTTCAACACATTTGCAAGATTTGCATAATTTTCGAGTGTTAATTGAACGACGGTTTTAAATTCCAAACTTAATAAGACAATGACATCATTGTGGGAAGGTTGAAGTAGGTTAAGGGATTTTCTAGGGAAAATACAAAGATCGTTTGTCAGGTTTTACTAAGAGCGTTTCTGTGCAAAAAGCGATCCAGTCTGAGGATCGATATCAATGGAGGGTCGCACGTAATGTATGCGAGTTACCAATATGGCGGCCAGTCGGGTGTCCCTAGAAAATACAGAATATTCCCCGATCGACTGTATTATAATAAAATTGATATCCATCCTGCATAAATTACGAATATTGTTAGTTCTTTTTTAAAGGTCTAGGGAAAAAGCACATGTAATAAATAGAAAAAGAATTGTGCACCATAGTACTGACGCCGTTCCTTTACAATTTGCTGCTCCGGTGGCTCTGTAATGCTAGGAATAATACTCGCTGTGAATTAGATCGCGAAGAACGGTTTGAAGTTAACGGTGTTGTGAAACTCGCCGGAGGATTCACGGAGATTAGTAATTCGGCAGAACTTAACACCCAGGTTTTCCTCCATTATCCAAGGTGAAACTTCTTTTCCAAATTGCCTGCAATTTCCGTTACGTAACGTTCGATCATTTTATCCTGCTGGAGATAATTAAAACGTTCTTAGCATTTGTCATCGTGATTCTTTAAATTTTAATGGGTAAAAAACTGTGGGAATGGTTTTTCTCTATTTCACCGGAAAAAAGTTTGCATATCGTGAATACTTATCTAATACTTGTTAGACAAACTTCGTTTTTATCATCTTCTTTTTCATAAAATTACGTGTACTCATTTTGCAAAATTCTGTAGATTTTAGAGTTTAACACCTGAGCGGTGCATAATGCTTCGGTGCCCAGGGCAACAGAAATTATCGCAACTTGCTACGTTTACGGGCAATTTTTTAAAATCCATACTTCCCAGTCATTACTATCGCAACGTAACCCTGACAGGCTTTCAGTGTTGTTACTTGTGCTTTTTACTGGAGCAATCCATCCTTGTAAGGAATAGTACATGGCGTGTCCGCGAGTAAAACGTTTTCTAGAAGGTGAATGCAAATTCTAATTGACTGTGTAGAAACCTATTGCACGAAAGATTTCCATTGTGTCGTCGATAGCATCGAGTAAAATGTACGGCAATGTATAAAACTGATTGGGTGATGTTTTAGGACCCCGACATCGTCCCTCGGAGCGAACGCGCTAACAGTTTCCGTAGGTTCCGATAAAGAACGTACAAGAATGAGTAACTGTCGATGGACAATATCGCGACAACGTAAAATAACACTTTTCCCTTAAATTTACTTTAACAAATGAAGATTTTCTGCATCTGACTGTTCCGTAACGGCGAAGTTGACTGAAAGATCCTCAACTAAATTTTCGCGCGACCGTATTTTATTAGGGGGACCAGAAAGAAATCCATTATTTCTGCCTCAAACTTCAAGCATAAATATAATGGATTTCTTTCGGGTCTTCCTAATAATATTTGGGATTTTCTTAACTTTTGATTCGGAGGGTCAATGCCAAGAAAAAGACGGAGAGAAAGAAGCAGACGAATGCAGGGCTCGAAGGATATTATGTAACGGCGAACAAAGCAGCGGCTTCTACCGGGAGACACAACGTTAGAGCGGATGTTGTATAACGGTTATTCAGCCAAGGGGAACGACGAGATCAGCAAACCGTAAATGCTTTGACTACTCAATCTTGTGTGCTCACATTATTCAACTATTGTTGATACATCTCGCGATCACGATACAACACTACAAACGCGATATTACGCGTCGTTTATTTATTGGCCTCGTATAACAAACGCCATTAAAAAAAGGCATACAGCTGCTCGCGTTTTGGCTCACGCAGTAAAATTTACATTTCTTGCAGCGAATGGTCGGACGTTGATATACTATTTAAGCAAATAATAAAATTCACCTCCGGTGTACAAACAAAAAAATACATAACTCTACGCGCTACCGCATCTCTTGATGCAGCAATTCTGCGACTGCTATATTGCGTTGCAGTTACTTCGATGCCTTTTCGCTGTAAACGAAGATCATATTTGAGGGCCCCAGCTGGGTTTTCGATGGAGAAACTATGTACTGCATAATCCCCCCGCAGTATAACTTTTAATGGAGTTTCGAACAGCGCGGCGATACTTCAATACACAGTAAAATAGCGAAACAAGGTGCAGTATATTTGCATTACCTCGCATCGAACGTGAGTGTAATGGATTTAAAGAGAACTTTTCTTTGTGGATTATGTGCTTCCATGAATATCATGATTTCATGCGCACGTAGTTATGTACGGTGAAATCATAACATTTTCATCTTGCTCCAGTTTTTAGGTGCAATCTAAGTCAGGTGTAGCTGGCATTGACGTTGGCTTGAGGTAGAGAACGATTTGAGAACCTGACCTAGACAACACGTATTTTATCCAGTGTACTCGCATTTGCGCAGTAAATTGTTTATCTAACTTCTCTGCGAAAAAATAAAGCAGTCGCATTATTTCTGCGAACGTCTCGAACTGAATTTCTTGTGGGAGTATGAAACTTGATGCGCATCGCGCGTTCTGATGCCTGAACGGCCGCAAAAATAATATATTTAGAATCCTGGATTCTTTTTCCAGGAAACTGGTGATTTTCAACTTGAGATTGTAACGGGGCTAGTACTTAATGACCACATTTTCCCTGCGCGAGCGCACCCAGCTGGTACGCAGTTGTTACTCAAGTAACCAAGCTCAGCGCACTGCACTGTTAAAAATGTTTACAAATTTCGTACAATTTAGATATACAAAGTTTTATAAAAATAAATTTTATACGACCATTTAAATTAACGCGTAGTGTTCGTCGATATATGAAAAAGTTTCGAATTCTACGACACTTTATTGGAAACTATATTTATTTAAGCACATGTACGAGTATGTTATAAATTTGGTGTACCGTGTATGAACCGAACTTTCAATACATAAGTTTCTTATATGCATACCGAAGGAAACGTATTATTTATCCGCAACGTTTCGAAAGGAGTAAGGCAAATATTTTTCTAGATCGTGTAACTTGCATTCGTTGAAGTCAATTATTGTGCTTCGAAGAGGTCAAATAATTGATTTATATTTTCAGGTGCGGACCTTGTTTGTCAGCGGTTTGCCGATGGACACAAAGCCCAGAGAACTTTACCTTCTCTTTAGAGCATACGAGGTACGTTTTTGGTTACCAAGCTGGGTATTAGCTTTTCTTATCTTCCTAGTTAGTCTTCTCTATCTTCCGTGTAATATTTTACGGGGAAGTAGTTAATGGAAATTACTGGGAATAATCGCTGAAAGTATGACGGGTTGAAAATATTGCTCACGCCTTGAAATACGCGTTTCAGGGATACGAGGGCTCCCTCTTAAAGGTCACAAGTAAAAATGGGAAAACTTCATCGGTAAGTGAGATCGTTACGTTGAATTTCATTGGCTAAAGGAGACGTGCTGGGAAGCGTCTAACTGTTCTTCGAAATTTCAGCCGGTGGGATTCGTGACTTTCCATACGAGAGCGGGGGCGGAAGCTGCAAAGCAGGACCTGCAGGTGCGAACTAATTAAATCGATGAATTGGGTAAAAAACGTGAAACCATTTGCGGCCCTATCCCGTAGACTATACTCTCATCCATTTTATTGGCGGCATTAAATGACTACATTGAAAGGAAGTGTCGGCTCGAATTTGTCGAGGTTTTTGTTCCTTGAAAGGGACCAACATGAATTTTATGGCTTTGCTTGGATGCTATACATAGAGATGAACAATATCAGATATGCGATGAACATTTACACTTACCTATTAATTATTGAAAATTCGACTCACGAGTACACTCCATTTCGATTATCGAAAAACGTTGTTCAAGCCAGAGTGAAGCACCAAAACCACATTTTCGCATGAAAATCATTTCATTTTGCTGCTATTTGACAGTGGAATCTTCCGCGAGACATGTATCAGTTATAAATGTATAAAGTACAGTTAGTAACAAAAGTAAAGTGACCTGACGAAGTGTTCAGTGCTCATCGTTATCATTATACACGATTAATTATTAATTTATTGTATACAATTATTAACGTAAGTATGTAGTGATTTTTCTCCCGTTTTCTACTTCTTTGCCACACTGTTTCACCACGTTTGTCGAGTAATCCACGATCTATTAACGTCATCCCAATTTTTTTCGACGTATTTCTATAGAGATTTAATGATACATCTTCCGTGTTGTAATCCTAATAACATCTAATCAATATCGCCATTCTTCACTCATCCGTGTAAACCGACTCTTTTAACCGTTTCTTTGAAAGTTACGAAACGACCGACTTCTTCATTAACACATTATGCATTCACTGTCAGTTTCCCATCAGGAGTACACTACGTTCGTCCCGGATGATAAATTTTTCAACACTTTGCATACATTATATGTTTCGTATACTAATCGCCGTGTTCTTGTAAGGTTGTACATCATTTATAAAACGCCTACCAGGCAACAGCCGTAACTCCCACTCGGCTTAGAACTAATTAATTCCTATCAGATTAACATTAATCCAGATCAATAAGTGCTCGTTTATTTATGAGTTACACGACGTCCAAGTTTGGCGTTCGTCACATCGTTCCAGGTGGGGATGGAAATGATTTGTTAAAAATCTCCGGGAATACATCTTTGCACATGGCACTGTTTGATACTCACTTAGGAACGAGATACGGTGTTCCGGCTCGCGCTTTAATTATTTAGCCCGGTAGTTAATTGCCTTGTATAATTATCTAGCCCAAGATCAAAGACATGGAGCTGTAATAGTTTTACTAACAATCGCATGGCGAAATAAAAAATAGAGGCTAGGATTAAGCGCGGTAACTGAAACATCTGGGCTTGCAACTAACGGGGGAATTAACGTGCCATGTAATTTCCATGTAAAATATGTACGTAATCGAGCAACGTTCAACGTCCTAGTAACTTTTAGTACCACCCAATTACATTGACGTGCAATTGCAACCGCATGCATAGCTGACCACCTTTTTGCATCTGTCGTTCCCAAGTCGAGCTGCTTGGTCAAATGGAATTTTTGGTCGTGATGCCCAATTTTATTTATACTTTATTTTCTAACGATCTGGGATCAAAGTCAAGCTATAAGTAAAGGGGAACCGCGATAACATTGGGAGAAAATTCAGACGCCATTTTCTGTCTTCTTAATATTGCTCGAATAATCGTGATTAATTAAATCGGGTGATCGAATCGAAACTAGCGATCAACTAATCATTTTCGCGTATTAGATCGCATAAAAGGAAAATGCTATTATGCAAAAGGAACGGTGGTGGATTATTCCCCAAGCTGGGTGGATGTTACTGCATGCCTCCCAATTGCCCGGTCGACTAATTAGCATTGGCCAATTATTCCGTTTCCTTCCGACCGGCGAAAACGAACGATTCGTTACAACACTTGCTAATTTCGCTCGATTGTACGAGCTGACTTATCAATATGGTAATCAATCGCTTCGCCCTTCGCCCTTCGACGAACCGTTGTATCTGTAAGAAGCCCAAGTCACCTCCGACGACTACTCGTCGGCCTCAACCCGATTGATATGAGCACTAATATAAGGATCTATTTGCAGCAGGGTGTGAGATTCGATCCTGATATGCCACAAACCATACGTTTGGAATTTGCAAAAAGTAACACAAAAGTTAGCAAACCCAAGCCACCAGCCGCTACAGCAGCCACCACGCACCCCGCTCTGATGCACCCTCTAACTGGACGTAAGTACGCACTGCTAATTTTCCACATGCCGGACATTTTCTTCGGCATCCCACAAATTTCTGTCCATTGCGCATGCGTGTGTCATCTCTTGTGATCTCCCGGAAGCTTCTCTTGGTTTCACGCGTCCATCCTAGCACCGTCTAAACCCTTTCGACGTAACCTACTTGGCACAAGATATCCGGTGGTCGTTCCTGAGATTTCCATCTTCTTACATGGGACCTTTGTGTCAGATAATTAAACAATAAAAATGAGCGATAACTGGATATCCTGGCATTTCCGTGTCGGCAAGTAAATGTAGGAGATAGAATTTTGGGATGGAATATACGGTGTGCATTGTTCCCCACGCTTTGGACTGATTTTCAAAGGTACGTTCGCGTCGTGCTGATTTTTGTCTATGATAAGGATTGCTGATACCGGACCGGGAACAAAAGAGTCGCGTTCTGGGTCTGCCTATAGCCCCTGTCATGTATGGAAATATATCACTAACTTGTACGCTTGGGATGTGATGTTTTAAAATCTAGATTGGGCAGTGACTACAGATGAGGTTTAGGCTCTAGATAGATAGCTGTGCCAATGGTAGAATAAATAAATGTCAGTGCGAATATATGATCGATATTAACTGTATGTAAATATCTAAATCCCTGTATGAGGTATGTTTTTATCGTACCATCAGAATTATCATTTTCTAAGACGGAAATATTGGTGATATTTAGAAGAACCATAATTTTTTAGTGTTAACGGGATTTATTCGCGTTAGTCTGGCCGGTATAGGAGTACTACCACTGTCAGGAGAAAATGTAAGTTTTATCAAGAGCGTCATTTAAGCATCCAACCAATGCAACGATGGGAGTGCTATAATTCTTAACGCGCTCCTGAATAATTGAAAGCTGAAGAATCCTACAAAATGCATCATCTGGTTACCCTGTGCCCGATGTATACATTTATTTATGGACGAACGTCAGTCTGGATCCATTGGGGGATCTCGAAACGGTGTTATCAGCGTTGATCATAAATGTAAGGCTGGCGAGTCCATAAATAAAGTATGAGGGATTGACTATTTCGACACTTAATTCGTGCTTTAAACATTTTTAACCAGTCCCGATCTGAACATGCAGATAATTCATTGCAAGATTTAGTGCAAACCATGCAAGATACCCTTTAAACATGCGAGTAGACCTTGCTGTATCGCTACATCAGCATTTTTAACTGTCAGCGTTGGACCAAATGATTTCAAATGAAAACTTCTATTCCGCGGGATTATCATTCAGGACCTCGGCCGAATTCCGATGAAACGAACGATAAGCTTCGGGGCATGGCCAAGTTCCATAATAAATGTGTAAAATATTTATTTCTCGACGAGGTGGGTTAATGCATCGAGATCCGAGATCACGACTCGCGTTATCGATGGCAGCCTGTAGACATTTGCTTCTTTAGCCGCGTTCGAGGTCCTCTCTGGAAACATTAACGTTGGTCTTTCTTGCAGATCTAGGAACCCCATTCTTCCACGGAGGTCCTGAATTATGGCACCATCCTCTGACGTACTCGACTGCTGGTGAACTACCGGGCACACTCCAGCATGCGACTCTGGTTCATCCCGCCTTGCATCCTCAGGTCCCCGTACGTTCCTATCTTTGACTATCTGCAGGCAAAGCACTGGAGCCGCCGACAAGCGCCCCGATGCACGTTAGTGATACATGATCGACTTATTTATATTCGTCCTCAGTCTCGATTTAATGTGCACAACGATACGTGGTCCCGTTTTCTTCGACTCCTGGACACCGAAGGTCCTTTGGGATGCAAGTGTCGACAATCAATCAATTTAGTTTACCAAAAGCTCATGTTAGCGAAAATATGCATCCAGTATTTTTTATTTAAATTTCTTTGAGAAAAACGAACATACGAAAATATGAAATTCAAAAATGCGAAAATGCGAAAATGCGAAAATGCGAAAATGCGAAAATGCGAAAATACGAAAATACGAAAATACGAAAATACGAAAATACGAAAATACGAAAATGCGAAAATGCGAAAATGCGAAAATACGAAAGTACGAAAGTACGAAAGTACGAAAGTACGAAAGTACGAAAGTACGAAAGTACGAAAGTACGAAAGTACGAAAATACGAAAGTACGAAAATACAAATTCGTCTCGTTCTTTTAGACTTGAATTACTGAATATTAAGTTGGCCGGGAAAAAAAGGGATATTTCAAGTGTTGTGCAAGTCTCATGTGATTCGATACCTAATATTTTCAGGAATTAAATTAAGCTTTAGCGCGTTTCCGCGATTAATGCGTCTTTTTGGTACTTCTCAGGCACCCATGTCTCTGCCGCATCCGACAACGTTAACGTCGATACACGCATCGCTGCCGCATTTTTTACCATCTCCGGCTTTGGCATCACCAGTCGGATCCTCTTCATCTCAGCCGAGCATTGCCGTTAGCAATGCACCCTGCTCCACGCTTTTCGTGGCGAACCTAGGACAATTTGTATCCGAACACGAGCTTAAGGAAATATTCAGCAGGTTAGAAAAATTTAATTATCTATTGTACCAATTAAATATCGATAAGAATTTCGTGTTGAGAAGATTAACATGGAGGGTTACCGTTCCTGAGGTGTGTCGTAAACCTACCGTGAAATATGACACAATGGGATTTTTTACCCATTAAATTTATTGTACCCAGTGGTACAATTAATATTAAAATCTCTTCTACTTTCGAGTTTTATAAAAACAATTGAAACAACAGTTTCGTAGCTTTGAGAGAATTCCTGTAATTCATATTCTAATTATCTCATAAAAGGGCACGATATTAAAATTTGTATTGCCATTGGAATATAGTTTCTATTAAGAGGCGTGTCGACATTGTTTTAAGCGTTTTTTCCTTTTTGTAACGTCAAAGTGGTAGACTTCTTGGTGGTACCTGTTATTTCAACCACCCTGTATGTTGGACTACTTGTTCGTGCAGCATACATATGCTGCAGTTAACGCTCGACATCGATTCTATTTCCAGTGAAAATAAGAATCGATTGACTGAATTTCCAGGAAAAATGAGAGTTGCAATTCAATATTGAGGAAGCAGCAACCCTATTACCATGCTGTTAGCTGTATGAACATTAGTGTGCATACGAGTTCGCGAAAAGTGATTCTTAATAATCTAAAAATACATCCGTAAACTTTGTGATACCTAAATGTTCAAACAACACCAGAAAATAATTCGTTATTTTAGTTGTGTTATAACTTATTAGCTCAAAGGCGTATTTACAGAACACATTCAGGCAGGGTACTAAAAAAAAGTAGGATAAACTATCCATTCAAATTCAAATGATTAATTACAATTAAATTTCCATATTTAATGCTTTCGTGACACTTTGACAAAGATAGTTTATGAATTATTATATACATTGCGACATACATGAAAGAAACATTCCATGCGGATTTTATCATAATTTCCAGATATTGATCTTTACCTGAAGAGTGTTAGGGAGTAAACGGAACACGTTATATATACAGAAATGATTCCGTAAAAGTTACATTGTCACTAAGATTTATTGAGATAATTTCGAACCTATTAGGACATGATCTAAATTAAATACTTTAAAATTTAACTATTTGCGGTTAAGTCTGTGGTGAAAAAAAAAAAAAGAAATGTAGTAGCCTCGTGGGTCATTTTCAAAAATGTGGTCACTTTCAGTTAGTATGAATTTTTAGGCACTCCATTTTACAAATATGAGGCGGGATTAATTAATGAGTGCTACATTGGAAAAAGAATCTCGTGATTCCATATATTACTCCCTGTATATCGTGCACAGATACAGTTCGAATGCCGAGTGCAAGCGCCTGAAGAACTTCGCCTGAAGAACACTCCTCTTCAAGACAACGTTTTTCATATCTTACGTCCGAACGAGAGCTACTTTTTCTGTGGAGGTACCTTAGGGAGAGATCAAATTTTGGGACTTCATATTTCGGATGTACCTCAAGAGATTTTATACAAAAGTGAGTTCTACGAAATGGTTACGAAAAGGAAGTGGAGCCGAACCTGGGTTCCACTTTACTTACTTAAGAGACTTCAATGATTACATAGGCTGAATTTGGAGAAAGTGTACATAGAGAACATTGTATAGAGTACTGCGGAAGGTAAGCCATTCCGGATTAATCCTCGTTGAACGTATATCCACATTAAATACAGGAAGACCGGGATATATTAAAAACATCTTTACTTCGAATTTTCACGGGGTACAACTTAACTGGAAAAAGAAAAACTCAACTAACGAACCTAATTGAAAATGACGTTCTTTAAAATATTTTCACCTTTTCGTGTTAATAAGTTTATGTACAATGTATGTTCGTATTCAACGAGGACCGGTCAGAAACTGGCTTAAGTGCTAATAGTTACGCTGCCATGTTCTTTTTGTAAACTGTCACCAAGCTCGTCACATTTACACGTTTGTAGTTGTCACTTTTCCAAGAATACCTAAGACTTCACGCAAGTGTAACGGAAGGATGTACGTGCACAGGGCACGTTACAATAAGGCCGAGAATTTCAACTTGAACTTAGAGTTTGAGATTCGGTAGTTGCAATATTAGCCTTATTGCACCATCCTCCCACGATACTGGCTTCGAGGCAACATTCTACCCTCTTTTATTTATTTTTTTTAAATAATATAGTGCATCACGATACCTACATGTTACCTTTACAAGTAGGTTCTACACTGAGGATAAAATTTCTTTAAGGTATGGGTTAGATAATGAAAGTACAGCTAATTCTCAATGAGATTTGTTACAATGTATAATGATATTAGGATGTCGTCGAGGTAGTTGCGTACTGTGGCATTACATTGCTCGTGTGTCTGGACAAAAAATGTTATAACAATGGTAAACTGATAGATCAAATTATCTCGTGCATTATTAAGGGATAATCAGGTGCATACCGAGGTAAACCAGTGGCAATGCATTTCTCCGTGTCACAGCTGCATAGTGTAATACCGAAAATGTCAGAACGTGGATTTCTCTGCAGAGTCATAGAGTGTTGTTTGCAATCACCTGAGACTTAACATGGCTCGATCGTGCACAATAATTTGACCGTCCCATGTCGAAAGTTTAGACGTTAAGCACGCGGCGTATCAGCTTATTAATCGACCACATTTTTGGAAATGATCCCTGCTACGTAAGATCCTGTATTGAACCATCTACCTAGGCTTCCTTGTGTAACCATTTAATTAAATTAATCGAACTTACAAACTCCTTACCCCGGTCCACGAAGCAACCGTAACTCACATTGCTTGCCTACCATCAGGATCGAAGTGTCAATTCCATGCACTAACCTTGAAGAATTTCGAGAATTTCGGGAAATTCCCGATAACCTCGCCTGATGATAACTCGAACTCTCTGAAATCTAAAGAGGGTTAAATTGCTTGAAATTCTCCACGACTCCGAATTCAATTGGGGGAGTTTGATATCGCGATATAATTTGAAAAGTTGGTCAACTCTATACTTGGGAATTTCCGCTAAACGTCGTAGAAAATTTCAGAGGAGGAATCATCACGTGAGGTCTGATTGGCCTTCGACCTGAATATGTAATCCCTGCAGATCGGCGTAATACCTAAATGGCAAATCTGCTAGTACGATTTCTTGGTGCTAACCATTCGGACATAATGTTGATGGTACCAGGGTCTAGAAACGATGAGCTCCCCCGAAAATCGTCACGTCTCCTTTTGCACAACATAATCCTGCCTACAGTATGGTCACATTCTTTTTTTGTAGGGATTAACGATATAATCTCCCTTAATACCACGGTAAGGTATTATCCAGCTATAAATATGGATTAAAAAATGTGTGGTTTTCATGGAAAAAGTCTCAACTGGAGGATGAGCTTAATTCGTGCCACCACGCACCTTTTAATTCAATCGTAAGTGAAGAATTTTCCAGGAGGGAGCCTCGCTTCTATGGAAACATTTGACTTTGACAAAGATGGATATCTTGGGAGTTCCATTATAGATTAAGGGGAGGCAACGGTGAAATTTCCCTTGAAATATCGATTTATGATTTAATCTTTGGATTGATAATCGTCAGAGGTTCACCGCTGGCTCCCCGAGCGAGGAACAAATCAAACACTATTAACACAGCTGGCATCACAACCGATACCATTCCCCCTAATACCATTTGTAGTAGTGTCGGCACGAGAGCTAATATTACTATGAATAATGAATTAAGGCACGTACACCTATACGCTTCTCTTATTTATGCACAGTTTTCCTGGTTTCTGTCGCCTTCGAATGCACACGAACGGAGGATTGCCTGTGGCCTTTGTCGAGTACCAAGACGTTCGCTATGCGGCCCAAGCGATGGCTACTCTTCAAGGATCCTTTCTCCTCTCTTCTGACCGAGGGGCAATACGAATTGAATACGCAAAATCAAAAATGGCAGAAGTGGGATTTACGAATCTGTGGATCGAAGTAGGTCTCATCTCACTTGGACTTTTAAATATCCCCTGGTTGTCTATCTTGAAACCTGCCTTTAACGTAATCTGCACCTTTTAAATCTCTTAGTACGGTGACTTAAATTCGATTAAAAATACTATATTGCTTCAGATGGTGAAGATGATTCTCGTGAAATGAAAAAGACTAAAGAGATTTACTCGTGAATTTCCTGAAAGCAGGAAATTTCTCGGTAAAGCGGTGTCTGTTGATGATGTGCGCATTTCATCAGCAGTAAATTGTTACTTGAAGAACCCTGTGACTTGACAGAAATTGAGTCTTCATGTAATGTAATGCCACAGGAGCAAGCATGTCAAGTGTTGGTTTAATTAGAGCAGTTAGTTATCGAACATTTCTAGTGATAAACAGGGTCCTTTGGACGAAAAATGCTTTGAAAATATATGGGCACCTCATAATGATCGTTTCAAACAGATGAGTTTTATCAATTTTTTATACCGATTGGGAAAGTATCTTGAATTGCAAAAGAATATTGAAGATAGTCATTGGGTCAGGACAGAACATCAATTGGTATTCTGTTTGGGTATAGATATTGCAATAAACAAGTAGCATTTGCATTCGCTAAATTGATGCATCATCGATTACGACCTGAAAAATTAAACTGGAGTCAATTAGAGCGTAATTACCAGCGCATAAATTAAAGTCTAACTGCATATGATATAACGAGTGACTTTATAAACTCGCATTTGTATATTCGTTTATCCTTATAAACTTGCTTCGTGATGCTGCATTCCAGTATAAAATTTTCTGCAGAGCCTTCTAAAGCATATAAACCCATCCAAAAGCATGTCGAGGTCCATACCATCGAAGGCCGTACAGTACATATAAAACAGACCATTTTGATTAAAAAGTATTTAATGGACGTCGGACATTTCGCAAAATTCTAACAATTTCTTGCTTTGCTTTTCAGGGGTCAAAGGGAGACGAAAACAGGCAGTCTTAAAATTAGCGTCAATGGGTTATAATCAGCAGTTACAACTTGTTAATTTAACAACCTACAGTCTACTTACCGCACGGCTGCGTTCTGGGTTTGGCAGCATTCGGGAACGAACCACGGAAACACAGAGGGAAATAGGGATCGGAATTAGAAAGGAAGAAGAAAGCAGAAGGTCGACGGATGTTCCCGAAAGACGCGGCAGAAGTTGACAAGAAGTTGCGCGCATTTGGGAGCATCGGCGCGATCCTTCAGTACGGGGGCCCAAAATGTTCTAGGTATATTTTTCAAGAGGAGTATTCGCAAGGGTATTATCAACTGCGCGTGCATTAAGTTAATTTAGTCAATCGGTGATATAGACTCCGGCGAAGAGCGAGGCAGGCCAGCGACCAATGTGCGTCCGCGAGAGCCACGAAAGCGGTGGCGTCGATGAAGGTTTCTCTTTGTTTTGAATGTACAAAGGCACTGTTAAAATTTCAACACTTACTATGAATCTACCTATTAAGGAGGATAGGTGAACCGTACCCCGTGGGCTAGGAGTACGCGACATATTACCAAAGTTGATATTTAACAGCCCGTGCATGACGTGCGAGCGCGCTTTTGGATGTATGGTGACCCGTGATGATAGGCAGGTACCATACCGTACCATACGCGTGTAGTATATTGTACTATATTATATTGTGTTAAAACCGCGCTAAATATGCGTCTACATAATTAACCGTGACCAAAGCCATCGACTTATGATACACACATCGACATAACACAAGTGCATAACAATGCCGTCAATCATCGGATTTATACACGGAGGTCATACACGAACGTCAAGCTTAATACCAAAGGTGCCCTAAGAATTGTGTATTTATGTTTATCATCAGCATTGTAAAAGCAAGCAACTTGTTCAGAAGAATTTAATATCCTTCGGAAAGGAGAAGAGAGAGAGAGTTATATAATATAACGAATGCGAACATATCATAGGGTTAAGAAGGTAGCGAAAATTTTTAAGGACGCAGACGACCTGCGTCCGGTAAGAACAAATGTACCCGCGCGCTAGAACTACGGCCAACTCGGCACGTATTTTGTCTAAGTGCCTTCCTGTTGGTCGAGTTATGCTAACTGTACTGTAAGTCACGATCTAGTATCAACTCAATTGTAACTCGGCCCAAGTATATACTCGACGTAACCAATCTCAGGCCGAGGCAACCCATTTTTAAGTAGTCTCTAGCCGAGCAAACTGCGGCCTCTGTTCCTTGGTTTCTAGCGGTACGCGTGCATGTCGCGACGTCACGACTCGCGCCGAGAACCACGAAGGGAGAAATTATCTATTTCCAAGTATTTCTAGCCAAATTGAAGCTATTTATTCGCGCGGTGTGGAGGGGAGGAACCGTTATCTGACTAATGAGTTTAACAAACGTAGAGGTAGGTGACAGGGGTTGCGGTTAATTAGGGAATGATAACCGATTCTGAGGAATCTGATCGTTTCGAGGGACTGGAGAAGGAACCTTGCGAAACTGGAGAAAAACCTCGACGGGACTTTGCGAGCGTGTAGAGTGGTCCAACTCTCAAATCTGAGATTCCTTCGCAGAAGGGAAGAATAGTATTGTAGTATCTCGTTAACTCGATTATGTTTGATTCTGCGGCGATATCCTGCCTAGTAGAAAAATTTGTTATCGGTAAATGAATCTGAGTAGGGGACAAAGACATAATGGAAGATCGGTGGAATTTGATCGTAGATTCAATGTTGGTCCTAAATTCCAATCGCCAGCTGGAACAAACTCAAGCCAACGTTAGAAGCAGCGTATCCTTGCCATTTTAGGGTAGTATTTAGCAGAATAGAAAATTCAATTAAACCTTCTCTGACTCGAGCGAAATATTTGTTCAAACTCTTGGTATCTAGCAGGGTAAGTCGAAGATAAAAGGCAATTTACAGATGTCAATTTCACATAAGGAATGTCTCGATTTTTCATTTACACTTGTACCGAATATATAGCAGTAATAAGTAATTGGGATACCTTCTTTTGAGGAAATTACCAATTAAGTTGAAACCACTTTGCCTTGGACCACTCTGCATTCTTGCAAGTTTTACACGTCTGAACTTTATATATCACGATGTTATCTCGTATCTACCGACAGCTTCGAACCGTACAGCAGGACGTTTCATCAATGTTACAGAATTTTGTAGTAGGACTGTTAAGTAATGTGGATTCAAGGATGTTGCTGCCTTGGTCTCGGAAATCGTTTCCCACAACGGGAGCGTGGAAACATTCCGATACGCGTTGATATATGGTAATTCATATACCGACCGAAATACATATCATGTAGATTATGGTGATATGCAGTAACTCATATCAATCGAAATACATATCATGTAAATTGTGTTATACCGTGTTAAAGTAGTGAAATAGAAATTAATATCGCCGACAAGAAACTAAAAAAAAAATCGGATTAATGCATATATGACTTCTACCTATGTATTTACCTATCCGAATGGTTCAATACGGAACTATGCAAGGGAAGAAAGTCGTATTTTGCCTGAAAAGTTCGTGTCGACAACTTCAGAAAATCATAACTGAAAGTTGGCTCGAGCTCCTCGAGCAAATTAATACATCCAATGAAGCAAACGCTTCGTCAATGAAAAGTCAATTTAAGTAGATTTTAACGGAAAAGAAACAGAATTTAGACGCTAACTATACTCAACAGTTAGTGGAAGAATACATTAAAGATGAGTTTTAAGGTATTTCAACTGTCAAGTGCTTTTGCCAGGTTTAACACATCTCTAGAAAAATTAGGCTAATTGTTAATTAAAATACTTTTCATGGTATTGTGACATTTTTCTATGCCACAATATCGCGTCCAAGTTGTAACATTTGAGGTGTGACACCATAAGTAGATAATTGGAAAGAATTAAGCATTACTATTTATTGAATTTTAAAAATCAATCCCAACAAATGCTGGATATTTTGGTTATCAGTTTCATTCGATTATGGTGAAACGGGCATTTTTGTTATTTTGTTCCTAATATCTGTGGAATCGTCCCGCAAGGTTACTGTACGTAGAATAGACATGATTGTAACATTGAGGAAACGTACTCTATTGAAGTGACACAACAAGAGTCTATCAAATGCGTTTCGGATAATTGAATAAGGAAAGTACTAAACCAACGCTTATCTAACGACGGAAAAGGTGTTAATATTAACGGTGACCATCTTATTGTTAGTACACCGGCGAAATGCTGTACCGACCGTTTACACGTACACTACTGCAAACTGATGTAATTGCTGTTATTTTTCTACATTGTAAGCCAGGTTACATAAGAACCAATGCTACTGCATAATTATTTACATTTACGCTGGATTCCGTCCTCGATTGAACGTCGGAATCAATAAATGCCGATTCTAATATTTGCCAAATCAGCAGCAGTAAACTGTCAAAAGCTAGACGCATACGCCGGTACCGTTCTTAACGTCGAAAGGTGGAGGTGTGATACATATCATTCAACATTAAGCTAAATGAAATGTTATAGGCCACGTTGTATATACGACAACTTCGGCAAATATGAATGAGTTATGAAATTTTGTCGAATTTACGATTGGACAAGGTTTATCGTCCCCCATTCAAAGCCGACGTTTGCCTATTGAATGTAGGCATTAATTACTTAAGGGGAAATTAGATAATAGATCTTACTTCTTCTATGCATATATTGTTTGAAAAATTATTGATTACTATTAGTCTAACGCAAGTTAAGAAGGGAACAATCTTACGAAAGCATATCAAGTTGCAAATAATAGGAGGGAGGATCAGTACATAGTGATTTTCTCTTCAGGGTAGATACTTACGCTGAATAGTACTAAATCTATTAATTATCATCTGATCTCGAACGGAATATTTAACGCAATCTCATGTTATAAAAAGTACAGACATCAAATAACCATTTTTACAATCTACATTTACAATACATATTGACAATTACTTAGTCGATCATGCAAATTTCCGAAAAAATGTTTATTTACCTCTTGACGTGGATTTAAGTTTATGTAAAACTTTGAACATTCCATTGATAAATCATTCCAGAAGATGAGATGCAAAACAAAGCAATTTTGATATCTGTTAAGCGAAAGTCAAATTTTCACATGTGCAAGAGATGCATTTTGTTATGATATATCGGAAGAGTACTTGCAAGCTAGGCAGTAAAATGCCTTCGTAAATATATTTTTTATTTTTTATAAACATTTGCTGAAAACACGTCACTTTCACTTTAAGTACTTTCGTAGCATTCCATTTATACAGCACTTTGTAAAAAGTGCAATTAATATTTTGCAAAATATAAAGTTTTTATTTTAATGTCATTCGCTCGTAAACATTACATGGAGCACAAAAAAGTAACAGTGTTCATTAATAAAAAAAAAAGTAAGGCAAGTTTGGACGAACCATTTATAAAAAAAAGGTTCAGCATATCGATTTTTTCAAAAGTAAAGTTATCACATTTAGGGATCCTTCTTTAAAAATGGATATTACTAAATTTTCTGGTTCCTCATTTATTTTTATTAAATAATTCAAAAGCAATTAAATTCACAAAATGTTAGACAAGAGACAGTTCAAAACCATAGACTTGTAGAGTAGATGCATCTTCTGATAAAAACCCAATTAATTCGGACTAAATTTTCATGAACAGAATCCAATAAACATACACATTACCGAGTATGTTTTCCAAATATCCGTATAATTTCCCAACAAATAGATCAATAAAACTCACAATGCTGTTTTTTTTAGTGTAGTTATAGAGTAATATACATTACGCATTGTTTTCATTTCTTTATCTATTTATTTATGGACTTATTTATTTATTTATTTCCTATTTATCTAGTGTTATTTTTATTTATTTATTTATTTGAATAGCAGAGTAAGAGGGAACCATTGTTTCATTGCGCGATTCGACGTCTATATTCATTTAATTGAATTTTCTCCAAACTCACGAATTGATATCATTGTCGATTTTGAGCTTTGGGTGGAATAAAATTATTCAAAATTTCGATAAACAACTATAGCTATCCATCAGTTTTCCCGTTTTGCGATTACCTTTCGTGCCTTACGTTTCACCTATCATCATCCGAAAGTTATTAGGCGAAACTAACACATAACACACAAATGGCGTTTTCGTTTCGCATTGCGTAGGAGCATATGTACGCGTACTTGTAGAATATCTCTCGTTATCATAATGCGTGAAAAGGAACACAATTTAAGATATCAAGTCACCATATCGAAACCTTTCGGACACATCTGTAAATCTCAGAAATAGGAAATAAAATACCCAAAACTTCCGATAAACAGCATCAGCTGATCGCCATCCATTCCATCGTTGGAAGCATTATTCTACATGCATTCCAATGTTTTTTATCGGAACTTATAATCAGGAGGAGACACAGAAACTCAGTCACCCTGTACCGAAAGATGCAATTCAAGAGATTCCCATATTAAACTTGAAAACAACCGCGATCTGTAATCACTGACGTAGAAAAATGCAATTAAATAACTCGGCCTGCGATTGGTTAGGGCCGAACGTGCCTATGTTTATAATACGCCTGCGATGAATACATTACCCCGTTAACGCAAACTATCCTTTCCACATTTTCCACGATAGGAAAAAAAAACTATACATAAACCCATCTTTCCGTCTGAACGGTGCATCTCGATGAACAGAATATTTCCTCGACCGTTCTTCGCAAAGTCATCTCGAAGAACTGAACGAGATGCACCGTTGAGACGAGGCGTCGTTTTCTTTGAGAGGACCGAAAATATTGTACCAATTTGTCCTAATGGGCTGTCGCGAGCGAGTGGACAACACGGGAAGATAGAAATGGAGAGAAATGCCTTGACTGTTTGTCTTTTCCCAACGGGTAAGCACAGTTTGTCGCTCGATTTTTTCGACTCGAAGGTCGGCGTATGCGTCGAATCAGTCAGTCTATGCTCCTATTATAATCCGGCAGCCTTTGTTGTTTCCCTGATTTGCCAGTTTCGAAAGTAAAGCGCAGTGTCATTGGCTCTTCGACGGTGTTGTTCGGAGTACGGCTAACTATTACTATGTTCGTAGCGGATGTCCGCATTGCGAAGACACGCATTATTCATCGAGCGATCGTTATACGTTGGACATATAGAAAACTCTACTCGTACCAAGCTTACGTATTCCTCGTGTGAGAGTACATGTAGCCGAGGTGTCGTTTTGCGCCGTAAAGCGTTACTGGGATATAGTGTGCGCCCTTGTTCTTGCAAAGCCTCCCTTTCTTGCCGCCGCCATATTGGAATCGCTGTAATGGCTTCAAACGGAAAGAGAAATGAGTAACATCGCGAATTCAGGTTCCAAAAAGGGGCTCCGAACGATAATGAGTAAAATTACATCCCCTGTAATTTTTTGATGAATTACGCGAGACCCATATCTCCTAAAAGCCCCGAAATTATATAATCTTTATGTGCGTGAACGGTAGGGATATTCTGTTGCATTTTTACGCTCTGTTTATTGGAAATGAAACAATGTACCCTTCTGGTGGCGTATTTTGCGAATTCTGGGTATTGAAATCCGAGTTTACTTTGAATTCATAGCCATTATAATGTCTCTGGTATAGCGGAGGTGACCCAAGAGTGCGATGCGAGCAAGGCCAGTGTTTCTAATTTTAAGGTTGTGATTGTGATGGATTTGCGAAAGTATAGTTAACCACTTGATTGGTATACTTTTAAAATGCTTCGAGTGAAGTCCAGTTACATTAGGCGAGGGTAATTGTCATTAATTGATTTCCTTTTCAACGTGACTCCCCGACTGGAAAGCATTTCTAAATAGAATCCTTCCCCAGCAGTCAAGTGGTTACAAGTCGGGGTACATTCATTTACATGTATTTATATTCCGTTAACTTAATCATCCGAGAGCTAACGGATTGTATTAATTGCCGTCGGTATTAATTTCTAATTTTTATTTCGAAAGTCTGCGTATATACTCAAGACTAATTATTTTACTGGTAATTCGAGTACGATGGTGAACGGTGTGTGTCTGTTTATCTATTATCACATATCTACAAGTGGTATCCGTTTACGATGTCAGGCGAAAAACTAATATACAATATATATATGTGTATATACGTTCATATATACATATATAGTATCACGTGTATGTAAATATCGCATAATTTTTCAAAACTCGAGAAGCCTTTCTTCGTGGGTTTGACTAATTCATGAAAAGTACTTCAACATACAATTATGCAGAGAGTGCATGCATTGAATAAGATGAACGCAAAATCCTTCTCCGGTTAATTCAAGAAAAGAATAATACATGTTGACTTAAAAGTTTGGTTAAAATTTCTATACAACTTTGTCTAAAGTATTAATCTATCGACGGAGTCTCCAAACTTCACGTTTGGGGTAATTATCACCTTTTGGAATCAACGCCGAAACATTTGTTACTTCTTGTTCCATGTAAAGATTAAAGAAACATTTTTACTTTTAAATGATTTCACGTGAAATTGTCACGTATGAAATTCTGGCTGAGTACTTGTAACAATTTCGCGTGCAAATGTATGCCAATAATCTTCGAATGGCGCTCTTACAAAAAGGGCGACAATTTTAACAAAACCTGAAACACAAAGGATTGACATAAAAATGCTGCTCTTATATCAAAGAGATGATTTCGAGTGAAACTTATTTAAAAAATGAATGACAATGAAACATGTCTCCAATTTTATAGAACAAACAAATGATTCACAGTTCACCGCAAGGCGATTCAAAGGTGCTTAGCCAAGATTCATTAGCAATTATCCTTCTGCCAGAACGGAGACGTGAAATTTTAATACGAAATAATCTATCTGCGTATGTACTCCCGGAAATAATGATTTATATTTCCAGGTCTTTTTGGAACCGACACTTTTAACGTTAAACGATACGAAAGAGGAGAGTTCGATGCCTCTTCGGACGGTTGGAGCTTACTTTCGACGTCTTCAATGGTAAACTCGACTCGGTAAATTTTGAAAAATTATGCTTCGTACTTATTATTCAACATCGTACTTTAAATTATCAGATCGCAATTCTAGAGGTCTGTGGGACCTGGCGAGTGATTAAAGGTAAAGGGGTAAATCACACGCTGGGTGTAGACACGTCTAGCAAGATAAACCCGGTTCAGGGTACAATGAATTGCTCTGAGAATTAGAGATCGTTGTTGTTTGTCTATGGGGTATGCCGCCGTTGTAACAATCGTTGAGACAGAGGATTATTTTCCTTTTTGTGCAACTACCTACGTACCTAGTGAGTTTCGTCAGCGCGATATCGGATCGACTTAAAAAATCGTCACATCGTGTATTGTCTTTCGTCCGTCAGTTGTCTCGAGTAAAGCGTTTTATCACGTACTCGCACATGTACATATACATATCGGAAAAGCTCTCAATTAACTTTTGTAAATGATACATTCTAATCGATTGCAACTGTTGAGGAACTCCAGACTCGCGGGATGCTCTTAGCACCTTTGTCTTAAACCTTTATCAGCGGCTCGAGTTGATAGGTCATTACGATTCGAAGATGGAAGACGAAAGAGAGAGAGAGAGAGAGAGAGAGAGAGAGAGAGAGAGAGAGAGAGAGAGAGAGAAAGGAGAGCAATTACAGCAATGAAACTCGATCGGACTTTCATTGTACACTTACTTAATGGTATACTTCGTATTCACTTGATTAGTTTACATTAGTGAGTAAATACGTAGGCGAAGTAGCATAGCTTTATGTGTGAGGTTAATGTGATACTTAAAATTAACTTGACAGTAGTGGTCGGGTGAAGTTTAATTTTAGCGAGATATATAATTCAGTAAAGGCGAGGTTTGAATAACTTCTCCGTCGTCCACGGCTTAAGAGACCGTGAATCGGCAGAAACGGGGTACAGACAATCTGAGACCTCGTCAGATACTGCCGGATACGGCCGACATTTTGAAAGTCGAGTGCCTTTAAATGGGTAATTTATGAAAGTCTCTTCACCGGGATCGGCGACGGTCGGTACAATATAAAAGGCGGACACGAGGCGGCCGCTCGATTTTCGAAACGTCACTGTCGCATCTGGATCAATCCGTCCATAACGTGTCTCGCGAGGCACTGCACAAACGTGCGTATTAATCATTGGGACTACAAAAACATATCATCATATGTCACTAAGATAAAGTATTTAAGCAATAAGATTTTATTTATATGCGTCTAAGTCAAATAAGGAACTAGCAAATAGCGTAAAACATACATATCATGCGTGTGTTTGATCAAGGAATAGCTTATACGTACTCTTTACTTCGTCGTTGTCAGACGTTAATGTTAAACTTATTTACAATTAATTATTAGATTGCAATTAAATTTCTCCAGGTTCTAAGGAAAATTTGGAAATAATAAAATGATCGAAGTACGTAGCTCAATAATTTCACGTGTTTTACTGCCACCCGTCGAGTCCATGCCTTCCTGGACGTGGAGGATGAAACTCTGCGATCTTCCGCTCTTGGCTTTCATATTCCAGAAGCTGCACCCTGAATGGATGCATGTATAAATCTATCGAGTTACCTTCAAAATCGTATGTTCCTAAAATTCGCGCGTACCACTTTTAAATCCCAAAATAAGGAACGTTCTTTCATTGCGGGGCAACTTGGCGTTTATTATGTATTTTTGACGAGAGCGCTCACTTCTCGCACTTTCATCTCACGTGGGTTTATTCGCCGAATTACGTATTCGCTATTTGAATAATTTTCATTAATTGTTTTTCTTTATAAACATTTATTTTCTTTAGGAAATCCATTCTGGCCCTTGGGCGATTCAAATTCCATGCTGCTCCCACTGCTAGTATGTCTCGCGGCAGGAGAGTGCATGCGCATGCGCAGTTCCTTATCACACCTTTATATTCCAAATTTTAATAAAATCCTAATCATCATAAAATCCCCAAATTCTAACAATCAATTTTGAAATATATTAATCAACTATGTATTAGACATTTTTGACGTATGATCGTCAAAAATGATTATCACGTGTTAGTACCATCCTTATGGGATGGCACCGATCCTCGAACTAGCTGTGAGTAGAATTTAATACAGATAAAATTTCACCTTCCCATAAAATAAATAAGATAAGTTAAGGTTAAAGTCGAAGAGGGAACCACGAGTGTTCGCCCCTTACCACAAAAGCGAGCAGTGTCGGTAAGCGTAGGTAAGCCACCACCGTCAACACTCGCATGGTATTACCATCACGAGTACGTGAGCTGTCAACGGCTACTGGTAGATGACACCGCCATCGCGAGTGCGCGAGCCCCTACCAGAAATTCGTTGCGCCGCCCTTGGGGGCAAAAAACAGTGAAAGCTAACGTACGAAACCAGAGTGCAGCACAGGATGCGATCGCGCGACCCTGCCCGTGAGCAATCTCCGAACTCATCTCTGGCTTTACCTTGTCCTTAAGAAACACTCCTAGTTAAATAAATTCATTATCAGAACACTACAATTTACGGAAAATGTTCAATCGTTAATGCAATAAAGAAATGTATGACTTTGATTCCAATAGTTATATATTCTGCAGTTGCTTTAATCGGAGTTTCGACGCACGTTAAGGAATATTGTCATAGCATTGTCTGTTTTAAATATTTTTAATTGTAGGAAAATGTTTCTTAGGATCAATAAAAATAGCTGTGTTATTTAGTTTAACAATTTGCAACTGCAAGTAATTCATAGTAAACCACGTTTATAGAATGTTAATAAATCCCATATCTTTCTAGTAAGGATACATTGGGTATTCCATAGTAGATAACATTGGGAATAATGTTGGTAGTTATTTATATATTTCCATGTGTTTCTAGGTTATGTGAGATAACATACAGTGACTATTCAATTTAAGTACTGTATTATAATTAGGATTGCGGGTTTAACTTACCTTTTCATTCTGTTTTTTTTGGACATTTTTAGTATAGTATTATTTATTATTATATTATTTAAGATTATGAGTGAATCTGAGTCTGATAATGATGATGGAAGGACACACAGAACTTATGCTGAAATACTTGCTGAAAGACAAAATGATGAAGGCTACGCGACTGCAACGTCCAAAGAGCAGGTATATTTTCTTATAATATTATCTACTGGGAAAATATTTTGCCTTTTTATGCCATAAATTTTAGCAATATTTTTATAGGATAACGTGGAAATTGAAGTCCTTAAGTTATATAAGCTGCAGATGGAGCCCCAACTTATTTCATGTACCCACATAGGCTTTTTAAAGAAATCATTAATTCAGTTGAACGAGCAGTATCAGGTACATTATGTTAATAATACCCTGCTTGGTTTATTGTCAACAGTTGTATAAAAGAATGTTAATTTTTATAATTTTTTTAGTGTCTTGATTGTAGCAGGCCATGGTTATGTTACTGGATTTTACATACACTTCAAATCCTAGGTGAAGATCTACAAAATCCTAAATATTCAAAGGTTGTTGGTTTTTTGGCAAAATGTCAATCACCTGATGGAGGTTTTGGTGGTGGACCGGGACAATACCCACACCTTGCATCAACATATGCCGCAGTAAATGCCTTATGTATTATCGGTACAATAGAGGCATATGAAACAATAAATAGGTATACATATAATGATTGTACATGCACTAAGGTTGTTTTGATGATATTAAAAGGAATACTGCCAAAACTGATTTTGGTTATTAAAAGTTTTAAGGAAGTTATTACAGAAAAACTAACAGAAGAATTACTAAACATGTGTCTTATTTGTGGAGATTAAGGACACCGTAATTGCAGAAAGGGACTTCTTCACTTTCTAACTTCATTACGTGGAGAAGATGGTGCCTTCAGCATGCATGTAGATGGCGAAGTAGACATAAGAGGGGTTTACTGTGCGATAACCGTTGCAAAATTAACAAACGTGTATACACTGGAAATGTTCAAAGGGTCTGCAGAGTGGATTGCACAATGTCAAACCTGGGAAGGTGGTTTTGGTGGCTGCCCTGGCATGGAAGCCCATGGAGGGTATGCCTTTTGCGGCATAGCAACCCTAGTACTGCTGGGAAAGTCTCACCTCTGTCATGTACCGTCGTTAATGGTACATTTTTATTTGTTTAACATTTCATAGGGTAAGCATAAACATTCATTGTATTTTTATACTTCCAGCGGTGGTTAGTAAATAAACAAATGCGCCTGGAAGGAGGTTTCCAGGGACGAACTAATAAATTGGTGGATGCATGTTATTCCTTTTGGCAAAGTGGAGCCTTTCCGCTAATCAGTGCAATTTTATCAAACGAGGGCAAAGTATTTGATTCAAATTATTGGCTTTTCGACCAGAAAGCTCTGCAAGAATACCTACTCATCTGCTGCCAGCATCCCTTCGGAGGACTTGTAGACAAACCTAAAAAGTGAGCTCCATCAACTTTCTTTCTTTAATAATACAAATTATAACGATTATATATATTTTTTACAGGAATAGTGATTTATACCACACATGTTATGCTATCAGTGGACTATCTATTGCACAACATTCACGACAGTCTGTAATAGTTGGCCACCCGAATTTAAATCGAGTTGGAGTAATTCACCCTGTCTTTAACTTGATCATTTCAACTGTGAGTGGAGCATTGACTTATTTTGGAGAGCTACCGATACCTGATTGAATGTATGGAAGATTACTGTGGCCTTGCCTGGTTAAAATGTGTTCATGTTAAGGCCGTGCAAAAGAGGAGAATTTACGAGTTGCCCTATGCAGTGTATGCAGGATAAACTCTGATTGGTATTGTCATGCATGATATTTATCAACAGCCTATGCATCTGAAGAAAACTACGTTCTAATTACACTTTCAATATGTTTTTTGTACAAAGTATATGGAAATGTAATACAATAGTCTAATGTCAATGAAATCTCTCTTATCACAGATGCATAAATAAAAGGGCCCAATCCATGTATACAGAATGGTTGATTTTATATTTAGGTATCAACACGTTTTATGTTTTCATGGATATTCCACTAAAATATGCTGAAATTTGGTTAAAGGTACATTCACAATTTTTATTCACTTGCGTCTACCATCGGAAAGACTAGAAGCAGCAAAGTTAGAATACAGTTCTAACGAAATTTTAGCATATAATCGCTGGATGTTTTCAGTACAGTTTAAAAATGTTTGAAGGTAACTTCTGAATATTTTTCAAAGCGTTCAATTAAAATTTTTAGAATATTTCCTATAAAATTTATCAACACGATCACTTAGATTTTTTTACTTCGTTCAATTACGGAATGAAAAAAACTCCAATGCCGCTGTCTGCATTTCAAACCAAGTTCTCCGTCGGTACGGAGGTTAAAGACCACGTGGTCATGATGATGCAAAGCGGGTATCAGAACTTGAGAATACGTTCCGCAACGGAATAAGGTTAGGTTCTTCTGATTCCAGACAGTTTGTAGAAATTTTAAATATTTGGAAACTTAAGGAAGAAAGAATATTTGGACCTGTTTCGATCCCGTTGGACCGGGAAGGAACCGAAGGGGGTTATGGCCAAGTATTTGGCCCAAATCATTGTCTTGGGCTCTCAAGTTATTGGTCGTGCTTTTGCACGCGCTCTTCGCCAGGAGCTCGCAGCGAGTAGAGAAGCAGCACGGAAAGCCGGTGATGGGGCCAAAGGTTCACAACATGCAGCAGCTAATTTACGAACAGGAATGGCTCTGGATGAAGCTCTGCGTATTTTAAATGCAGAACGGCCTGATCAAACGGATGTCATTCAGAAGAACTACAAGTATCTCATGGAGGCAAACGATAAATCAAAAAGTGGTTCGTTTTACCTACAGTCCAAGGTTGTGAGGGCTAAAGAACGTATTGACGAAGAGTTGCAAATCCTGAACTCCTTTCAAAAAGATGGCAAAACACATACCAAATCTCAAGACTCTACGAAAGATACTTAGCACATTATTTGTTTTCCTAGTCCAAATTTACAATTTTTCTTCAAAGCCTGTATATATTGCAAACTGTAACTACTGATAGATAGTGACCAACCTAGGATATATCGAAGAATGTAAAAGGTACAACGTATTCTTATGTACTATCGGAATGCATCATTAAGATGTGAAATAAGCAGTTGCCTTATTTCAATGACACATTCGATTCACTATGTCCGAATGTGTATTATAAATAAAGTAAACTCAAATTTTTGAGCAGTGTGAAAACTGATTGATTGAGTCGATATGTATTAACAATAAGTACAAAAACTTTGTAGCGTATCTGTACATATTTGAGTAGTTCTACTCATTATTTGAAATGCATGTTTACTTTTACTTTATTAAGCCAACTAATTTTGCGTCTTCAGGTTTTATTCTATTTTGCATTTGACGGATGGCGAAACGTTGATGACTGTGCGACACTGACCACAATTTTGGTAAGTATTGTGGTTTCATGCTTCTTACAAAATGTTCTCGCCATAGTCTTTCTAATTCAATAAGCCCACCTTTATTGTTTTGAAAATGATATACAACCTACAACATATAAATAATGGTATTAGACATTTTTCTCATTTAAATAGAATTATTGGGAGCTTACCGCTTGACCATGTGGCATATAACTGGATGGTAGTGGCGGATGCATAGGTCCATTTTTCAGCTGCCTTTCCAAAACGTCAAGTAGATCTGCGGTAACTTTTTGGCCAGTACATTTCACAATAACGGATTCAATTTGTGGACGCCTTTTCGCGGGTAATGAGTTTTGATTTTTAAGTGCCTTAACTGCTGAATATAATTTACGCCAATCACTAGAAGTTTTGTGCCATTGATGTGGTAATGTTTCAAATAAAGGAGCACCACACATAACTGCTAACTTTTTTCTAAGTTGCAGATCGTGGAGATTACTAATTTCATGGCACTCTGGGCAAAGTAATAAAATATCATGTGATTGATGAGATTTCATTATTTCTAAAAAAAAAAAGCAATGAACTTTTAAACTACTAAAATATATGTTTCAATTCAATATTTCATATAAGTCTTACGTATGCTTACCAGGAAAATATTTACGGTATTCTTTTGGGACAACGTTTTTCTTGATAAACTTGTCCGAAGAACCACAAACTACACACTGATTAACTTTGACTTGTGTATAGTATTTGCCAACTTCCCCTAAAGCCCTTCCAGAGGGCTCAAATGTCAATCGCACAGTAAGTGGATCTTCCTGTATAATAGTTCCTAATCCTTTTGCAATATACCATTCAGCTTTTTTACGATCACAAGTACATAATACTTCCCCATCTGGTGCTTCCAGATAACAATTATGATACAATGGTTTATTTCTTGCTGGTATACTATTTTTATGTGGTTTGTTATTAATCTTAATTTCTTCTGGACTGATTTCTTTATTAATTGTTGTATTAAATTGTTGAACCTTGAACCTGTAACATCATAAAAACATAGCAACCATAATTCTGTTGGAACTGAATAATCCAAAATTGTAATGTAAATTTATAAAGTATCAATAGTTTTGTCAAAACAATGTATTCTTGCTAAAAGAAAGGGATATATTTTTCCAAAATTGAATGACCTCGTATCAATGACTCCTTGAGGTAGACCATGAAATTTTTCATCCGCGTCTGCATTCCATATCCTTTTTAAATAAAGTATCAAATTTTTCCAGAGAGAATATTTAACTTTCGCTTGTTGTCTTATCTGAAATATTGTATGAGTAAGTTATAGTTTATAGATTTCATACTAAAAAGTTATTTTTCAAATTAGAAAGGGAAAATAATAGAATCACCTGATGATAAATTAAAACTGAAGCAACGGCATCATAGGCAGCGTAGACAATCTGCTCATTGGTAAGATTATCAGCATTCCAGTCGCTACATCTTACCTCTGTTGCCTTATTCATTTCTATTCCTAAGTATTCGAAGCATAATGCAGCTAAACTTTTAGGACTTGGAAGACCCAAACTTTTTGCTAATGATCTTAAATCAAGAGTTCCAAAAATGCAGCATCCATAGTCATTTGTTAATTTTTTACCATCTTCAAAAGAAGCAACTCCAACTTTTAGTACTCGCCTATTGGCTAGTAATTCCTAGACATCAATGTTTATATTAATAATAATGTTTTTTTACACACAGAAATTGTAAGACTTATAAAATTCTAAGTAATGATATCGATATAAACAAACATACTTTAAGTTTAGTTGGTATGTAGCCAATTTTTCCAAGACGAAATAGAGCACAAACTCCATTGTAAGTTGCTAATTGAAGTAATGAAACAGGTCCCTCGTTAACCCATTCACAGTCAAATCCCAGGATGCCATTAGATAAGTTACTGTAATGTTTGCCACAAAGTTGAATTAGAATCATATTTCTAATTTAAATGTTAAATCAGTATCTCTGCTTAGATTTGAGAAATCTGATTTAAATTCTATTTATTCAAACGAAGGTCAAGTGCCAGCTTATGGAAGAAAAAATGTAAATATGCAGAGGTATCAACTGCTTTATTATGATATATCATGAAGTGAAATGTACATAGGTAAATACTAATAATAGGCATTAATTAGAAACAATTAATAATAAAATATTCGTCCAATGTGGTAGAATAAAGAAGCAAAATTTACCAGTGAATACGTTGAACGGCGTAATCACATTTCTCCAAGGAATCAGCCAGAATAATTTTATCCAAAGTTACATGTAATTTCGTGTTATTATTCGTCTTTGAAGTAGAGTTACTATTATGGTTGGTAATACCATGGCACAATCGTTTGACGCTACGAAGTACGTTGTTGCGATACTTTGAAGCCAAGAGAACCAGTCCCACGGTTACACAGACAAAAAACATTGTGTTGCTTGACAATTGTTTTCAAACGACAATTAAATTATAGATATGTACAATTGGATTATACGAAATATTTCTTCTCGATCAACGATTGAATAATGAATACATAGTATCCGATAAATGTACAATTAACTATTTGCAGTTAATATATCGTAAGTTGCTTTAACGAATAAATAAATTAACACGAATTACGAATAAATAAGTATTAAGACTTTGAAGACGATCAATTGACTGGAGTAAACATAAAAGATTGACACGGGAGCACGAAAGTCCTCATTGAAAAGATTAACTTAAAAATAACATGACTCAAGAGTAGAGAGAAATGATTATTGGATATCATGTAAAAGATACATCGCGAAGGCGTTTCTAACGTCCGAGGTTCAAGGATCCCCGTAGCAGGGAAATAACACAAAATCGAACCGCGCGGCTACGGGGATTTATACGCGACTACTGCGTTCAAAAAGGATTAGATAGAACGGAAGGTCTCAAGTTCAGCGCTCTCTCGTGGTTTAATTACCCGAACTAAATACCCCCCACCCGCAGCCTTCCTGGAAAATTTCAACCTAATTCTATTCGGTTCTAATCTAAAAGATAGGCACGTAAGTAAAATACACATGATTTTATGAAATCGATATGTTTTACTCAACACTTAACTTAATGTAAATAACATGGTAATCAGTTGAATTAAATATAGCGGTTAGAAATCGGCCTAGGTGGCGCAGCGGTTGGAAAGCGAAGACTTGCCGTATCTCGTGGCGGTAATTTGAACGCCCAATGACACCTGATGACGACTTGGATGTCTCAGCAACGAATTGGATGTTCCGCCAGCGACCGTGTTTAAACTGTGGACCATTTTTCGATCGCAATGGCAGTGGTAATCGTGTCTTTCGTCGGAAATTGTGACCAAGGGCTACCAAGACCGATATCTGGACTGCTGGGTTCACGTTCCGCGATTAATAGAGGAGTGTAAAAATCAACGCAGCACGCGTTTGAAGTGTTTCGAGAACTGAACCAATAAATGGTGCTGTTGGCCATATATGGGAACTTTCTGCTCTATCTTGTCCGTCTAATCTTCGTTGCTTTGATGGATTCAGTGTACCTTACCTGTTTTCTTTTTTCTTTGACATACGCCGGTTTCTTAACCATTTCTTCATTCTATCCTCTGTTTACCTTTTACCGTTTTTTTCACGAGGTGGATTTCCCGCCAAATCGATAACTTCTAGATATGGCAAGTTCGATATCAAATTTAAATGTATATTTTAATACTATGTAACATTTTACAGAATTATGAAAACTGATACTTTGTCTTGTAATAAAAATTAAATGTAGACTGCAAGTCTCGGCAAAAAGGTTCCATTTACACAACTTTCAGGCTAAATTCACTACATAGATTTGTGAATGAGAATTATGACATTTCATTTTATTGCTATTAGGTACATTCAGTACATTTTGTGCTTTAGAATGTGGGAATTTGTATACTTTTTAATAAAATAAGATAATATAATGCTGATGTTATTGAATCATTATATCGTTTTATCTGTACATAGCAGTGTTTTTATAGTATTCTATGTTTCTGTACATTTATAAGTTATTTATTTCATGCATATACTATTTACTAAAGTAAAACATTAAAGTAAACTACATACAACTTCTGTATTTCTTTTTATGGACCATTATTTTTTTCTGGGTATATAACCATCTTTACTCATTTTATAATCGTCATACATTGGAAAACCTTGTGGTGATACTCTTGGATCTGATTTCTTTACTGGTTCGCTATCGGTTTTCATACTTTCATATTGTTTTTCTAATAAGACTGCATTTTTCTTCTTTGTCAAACTAAGCTTATAATTTGCAAGAACTTCCTCCTCGGTAGGAGGTTCCGCTCTGCGGTGTCGCAGCCATGCTTCCCATTCTGCTGGTATTTCTTGATCAAAATCGTCTTCCGTTTCTGTTACAAAAGATCGAGCAGGCTTCTTTCTCCCACCTCCTTTTTTAACAGTTTGTTCATAATATTTTGTTCCTAGGAAGTCTTCCCCCACTAACTTGTTCGTACGTGGTGAATAAAGTGTCTTCAGTGAATTGAAAAAATCTCTGAATATAAGTCGAAACACTCCACGTTCCCTACCAGCCATTTCTGTACCACATAGGCTTTGGTAATTATAACTGAAAAAAATAATTATCCTTCTGTTATGTCTTCTTTTTGTACATAAATTATATTTTTAGATACATCCATTTACACGAAGCACAGGCGGACAGAAAATATAAAAATAAAAATGTTCAAACTTTTCAAATAAGGTTAGGCCGCCTAATCATGAGCGAAGTGCGCCATCTAGCATTCACTTAATCATCTTTCAATGAAAACCGTCGGTAAATCTTACAAATGATATTTATATCAGCTCAGCTATGTAAAAAATAATAATTAGTTATTCTTTTCACAGGGGAAAAATAAAACGTATTTTTCTCGCAAGAGTTCACGTCAGTTGACCCTTTCGTTGAACCACCTAGAGGTAACATTAAATCCATGCATACAGGCAGAGCAAATGCACCACGTGAAAGTAGCTAATTCAAGGTCGCACATGGTTTAAACATGTTACTAATTTTTCTACGTCACGTCAATGACGACCAGGTCACATTTATAAATCGAACGAGAAGCGTCACAACTATCGTATAGGCAAGTGATCTTCGAGTTGTGCAATTGGATTACTGCACATGCGGCTTCCTGGTGTTGAAATTCGAGAAAATCAATTGTGTAACTCAATAAACACAGTCGGGGACCCTACCTTCCAAGAGTTCATTGGAGTCCTTGCTAATCCACGCGGTCTATGTATTCGTGGTCATCCAATGTGCCTGAATGTGCCAATAAGTAACCTTCCTAATACCCTGTTAAATACTACTCACGCACTGCGTTAGTTAGCAGGTGCAATATTAGACAACGTGACTTTTCCGGAGTGTCTGAAACACCGGCACCTGCCGGAACGGCTGATAGTTGCAGACGTCATTATAGCGCACCATCCCCACTCAGCGCCTAAAATTACCGTGCGATTTTTCATATGTAACTCGCCAATGAGTGCGAGAAGGACGCTTCGATACGGAGGAAATGCAGAGGTCTCTCGAGTGCCTCCCACCCCGCCTGCCGCAAAAGGCGTAACGATTCAAAGACAGACCAACAGTCAAGTCTAGTTTGAGTCCATTTTAATCTCAATGTAGCCCTAATTTAATTATTCTCAGCGAGGATTTTATAGAGAGTATTTATCCATCCCTTATCTTAGCTCCATCTTCTATGCCAATCCTAAAAAAAACTCCAAATTTAAACTTATTCTGTGATTTTAAGGAAAGGCGCATGCGCGTTGCACGAAAAAGTCCGCGTAATTTGAACACATATTTAGTCCGCTCTCGTTATTCATAGGAGAGGTAATTCAGATAATAGCGAAATTGAATCACGATGCCTATTTTAATCGATTTCCTTTTTTTAATTAGGAGCAATTTGGAGATTATGCCAGAAGGATACCGAAATGCAGGTACTGCGTATGAGCTGCAGGCCGATGTAGCATGTAGCCTCGTTAGTCGGAATTAAGATCGAGTAAGAATTAGAATTGAACTCGTCTCTGCTGAAATTCGAGCGTGTATGGCCTCGAGAAAATTAGAATAGAGAAAGGGATAAACTAGGGACAGGAGGAAAGCATAAACGGAGGTATAAATTATCCACGGAGATGAGCAGGCTCTGTTATCCATAAATCGGGCTTTCGAGACTAGCTTTGGTTCGCAATTCCGCCGTTACGGCGCGCTTTCCCCCACTACGCCCCTAGGGTTACCATGCGATTTTTCGCCCCCAGCTCGCCAATGAGTGCGAGAAGGACGCACTGATGTGGCGGAAGTATAGGGGTCTTTCGAGTGCCCTCCCCTCCCTTGCCCCGCGAAGGTCGCGACGATGCGAAGGTAGACCGGTGGTCATTCGCGGCTCTGCGTTCGCAGCCTCCGTGCCCGTCCATGCTGCGTCGCGCTCGGTAGCGCTGACGCGTTACGTCACTTCCAGGCGTGGTGTTTCGAGTGTGCCGTGCGTGCGCTGAAAATGGCCGTCCACCTCGGGACACGCTGACTTAGCCGATTTATCGAGAGCGAGTCCTGCCTCGATCGACTCCGACGAGTTCCGCGCGCGCGTCGCGTCGAGGAGTCGTCCGCGTCTCGGCGAGGGCATCGCTGATTCCAAGGTCGTAGGACGTCGGATTTCGCGCGAGGAGTCGCCGTGGTCGAGAGGTGAGTACCGTATCTTCGGTCCGGTGACGTCGGCCGAGGGTCCACGTCGAGCGGTTGCGCGGAAAGCGAGAAAGCCTTGCCTCCCTTGTCTACGTCGACGGGGAGGAAGCTCGGCAGCGAGAAGAGCATCCTCGGGCGGGTCGACCAATCAGGGCGCGCGCCGTCGAGGGCCCTACGGGTTCCTGCGACGGCAGGGACCGACGGAGCCGAGCTGGCAATCCAAAGGGTCCTCGCGATTGGTCAGCCGGACGGTCCGAGGGGACGACGGCCCACGTTGGTTTTCTCGGATTTTCTCCGATTTTCCCGGAGCCTTCGCTCGGTCGTCAGCTTGTGGGGAGGGGACGTCGCGCACCCGGGACTCGGGGAAAGTGCGCCGATGGCCGTTCATAGGCCCTTGGGCGATGATCGCTTGTCAAAATCGTGTCATCCCGAGACGTCGGCGCACGTCGGCACCTGTCGGTTCCTTCTTCTCCTCTGAGGCGATCTACGACCGTTGCGGACGCTGCCGATTTTTTGGCATGCTTATGACGCACTCGCTGTCACCTTCGTCCGTTGTGCTTTCTCAGGCGACTCTTGTGCAGGTACGGGTAGAGAGATTTCTCGGGGAGACGTCCCGATTTCGCGCTTTCCTCCGAGAAATTCATGTCTACGCGTCGTTTTACGAGCGATGAAACAGCAAAACGGTTTTTCGCGTGGGTACACTCGAGCATAGCTCCGCTCACGGGGCATTCCATGGGATCTGTGGATTCCTCCGGATTGGCTGTAAATATTTTATGGCCTGTGAACTTTCTTTTCTCAGGGAAATGAGATCATTGCCGTGGGTCTTTTTAGGTGGATGCAGTCATAGACACAGGCTTTTGGCATGATTTTGGGGTACTTGATATCATCTGTGACTTTGGATTTTTGAAGGTGATTTTTCTTTGGATCGCTCTTCTTATTGTGGACACCGAGTTTGGGTAATCGAATGCTTCTGCTTTCTAGCAAAGTTCGTGGCACGTTAGGTTTTATTGCAGTGGGAGTGTGTATGGATATGGATTATTAAAATTGTGAAATTGGTTCGGCCTAATCATAAATCAGGTTTTAGTAAACACAACTGACGGGAGCTCGATTTATCTAGGAAATGATGGGATTTGTTTCCATGGTAATAGTGATTTTGTTTGATATGATCTGAGAGCTATGTCAATGGCGAGCTGGAGGTATAAGTATTTGTTGCGTACTGTACTTTAGTAATTGTATGGAAGATATTGATCTAACTCATTAATTCTTCTTGAAATAATGCAATTTATGTTTGTAAAGGGAAGATCGGGCAACTGTTAAAGCCAAAAGTCTCTCCTATTGGAATGTTGTTCTGCCAGCTATGCCCTAGTTTTCTCTATCATTGGAATTTCTAAAGTATTGCATTGGCTAAATTGCCGTTAAACAGGGTTCTCCTTCACTACAAAATGAATTATTGATAACATTGTTGCACTTGCAAATAATGGCCAAATAATTATTCAAAACTTCAATGATTTTATGATACAATATTGTGATTATTCTCGTTTGATGTATTCACACTCGGCCTGTGTTGACTTTCTTTTTCAGAATCTTCGTGCATCAGTGACTCGGAAATAGTACAAAAATTCAATGGAAATGGGCTTTGTTTACAACACATGGATCTGTGCACGATTAAGCGAAATGGGCATTTCGGTTAATTAACAAACACCTGATACAAGTTGATCAAGATGCGGGAAAGATGTAGCACGGTCCCCTGGAGGATAGTGGGGATCATCTGAACAATGCAGTTTATTTAAAATAATATATATTTAATTAATAACTCTTCACTTAAATTGCAAACAATGGAAGCCTCGGTAACGAGGGTGGTAAATATAAAGTGTGCTTGCATTAAACTAAACGGATGATATGTAAAACTATTAATCCAACTTAATGAATTCGGTAATGGAGAAAATAAGTAACATGAGCTTCGTTCAGGCAATTAGATATTAAAGTAATCTCTGGAGTGCACTTTTTATGAACATTTTCCTCGTGATAGTAACCAAATTTATACTTTTGTACACTTTTAATATTACTCAAATGAGTGTCAATTACTATTTGGAGTATCGCACGACTTATGTTACTAAGAATTATGTAAAGTAGTGTGCATTTCATACGGGTGTGGAATATAAGACTGCAAAGATGTCATTCTTATCGAATCTTAAGAAGGCATTCCACTTTGGTGGCAATGATGCAAAGAAGAAGAAAGTGTACAACAACATCAAGATGGATTGTGATCCAGAAGAATTTTGGGAAATGATAGGCGAGCTTGGCGATGGGGCATTTGGAAAAGTATACAAGGTAAATGTTCTGTAGATCTGTTTTATGTTACTTTGAGATTTCAAAATTGTCATGAAAAATTTATGAAGTATAATCTTAGACACGGTAGAGGGGATATGGTACGTAGAGTATAATCAATATCAGGCATTGCGTTATACTGGAGATACGCGATGTATGGCTTCATAATCTGATAAGAGTAACCGTGTTGACCATAAAATCGTTAGTTTGGTATAGTTTGTTCAATTGATTATACTTGAGCACACTTGAGACACTGATTTTCACTTACAAATGAAATATGAATTTAAAAGATAAAATATTGGTTTCCTTTGCTTTCTATTTCAGGCACAACATAAACAAACTCAGCAGCTGGCTGCTGCAAAAATGTGTGCTTTGGAAGGAGAAGACGATCTCAGTGATTTTATGATCGAGATCGACATCCTCTCGGAGTGTAAACATGAAAATGTTGTTGAGCTGCACGAAGCATACTTTATCGATGGAAAATTATGGGTGCGTTCTTGGTATTTCTTTAACTCAAAGGTTGAGGGTAACCATTGGATATTGATCCTATATTGACTGTGACCATTAAGTCTGATTTTACGTAGACCTTTTTATAAATGTTTTGTTACATATTTTCATTATTCAGATTTTAAAGTAGTACTCATGTATTTTTCTAACGTACAGATGTTAATTGAATACTGTGATGGAGGCGCTCTGGATTCCATAATGGTTGAGTTAGAGAAGCCACTGACAGAACCTCAAATAGCATATGTTTGTCAGCATATGACGAGAGGTCTAACCTTTTTACATAAGTCAAAAGTCATTCACAGGGATTTAAAGGCTGGCAATGTTTTACTTACAATGGCTGGAGGTGTCAAAATAGGCAAGTTTGCAATATATTCAATTACCGTATATGCCATGATAATTATGATAATCATAATATTTATTATTTCATTAATTTTTCAGCTGACTTTGGTGTGTCGGCGAAGAATAAGCACACTCTACAAAAACACGATACCTTTATTGGTACACCCTACTGGATGGCTCCGGAAGTGGTTTTGTGTGAAACATTCAGAGACAATCCATATGACTTCAAAGTAAGATACATTTCTGAGGACGCGTTCGTGCAATGGTCCGCTGTTTAACGTGTAGTGATGACTCCTCAAATTTGTTGAATAAACGCGTATATATTGCGTAACCATGTTTCTATTATTTCCGAAAGGATACTAAATAGTTTGTTTATTTTTCAGGTGGATATTTGGTCCCTTGGTATAACGTTAATAGAGTTTGCACAAATGGAGCCGCCGAATCACGAAATGTCGCCAATGCGTGTCTTATTGAAAATTCAGAAAAGCGATCCTCCTAAACTTGACCAGCCCGGAAAATGGAGTAAGGATTTTCATGACTTTATAGCGAAGGCATTAACGAAGGATCCTACTGCTCGACCCACGGCTGAGGAGTTATTGAAGCATGCGTTTATAAATAGAGATTTGGATTCGAAACCAATAAGGGATTTGCTGCTCGAGTACAAGGCTGATGTTGTCGAAGAAGAGCTGGTTGATGAGGAAGCCGAGGTAGGCCTAGTCATTCAATTATTGCACTTCTTCCTGCATCCAATAGAAAATTGGAAATGCAGAGTTGCAACGAAATATACCATTCCTCTTCGATTTGAAAATTGAATATAAGGTTGCATAAAGGTACTCATTGATTTTAACTTTGCATGATTGGAAGCTCTATTCGAAACTCTGTTAGGACAAGTACTTGCGAATTTTATTTTCGGTACCTTGTAATATAATTTAGGTGCACCTTATTATTCCATTTGAAAGTATTAAGACACCTCGTTGATCAAGCTTTGCATAAGGTATTTCCTGTCTGATTTAAAAAGGAAAGCACTCGAACGATTATCTAGTTTTAATACACATGAATTATAACGTGGTACTGAGGTTTCGATTACTCTCTTTATTAGTCTTCTTAAAATATTCATAACATATGTTTCCTCGACATCGTAAGGGTTTCTTGATTCGACAATTACTCTTTGAATAAGATGTTTTTTTTTTTACTAAGAAGTAGAATAAACACATAGGACCACATTATAAATTCAATGCAGTATCAATTCGGAATCACTGAGCAATCACAGCAGCACGCCATGAACATTATTTCGATAAATGGAAGTATTATGCTTAGTACTATTCGTTCGATTAACATGTAAATACGTTGTTACACGCTTGCACTGTGGTAGAAGGCCAAAAAGGCGAAAAAGCACAGAGAACAGTACCAACGGATCGGTAAGCTGCTTCGGAGTTAGACATTTACAATTTCTTTTTCGTTTTAATAAGAACAGTTAAAGAATTTATTATCTTGGCGGCTTTTGCCTAATTCGCAATATTCGTGTATTTAGTAAAAAGTCAATGTTTCCTGACAGAGAATTTACACCATAAATCTAGCTTATTTAAAGGGCGGCAGTGTTTATTTTAATTCTTAGTAATTCGACGGGAAGTCGCGATTATATTATGCAATGCTCCGTTTAAAATCATTAAAGATACGAATGTGCTGTTGTAATTTAAAAATTTGGCTGTGCATGCGGCTCTCCCGGGCCTCGCCAGCCCCATCACCCATGCGATTGTCAGGTCAGTAGCTTAGGCAGTTCCTCACTTTTTGCCTTTTCTGGTAATCGCATTTATGCATATGTTCTATAAAATGAGGTGTGGATGCAAACACAGTTTTGGTTAACGCCCTTTATGCTCGAAGGATATGTCATACTATTTCTGATTTTTGAGACTGTTAACTCGTTGCAAGTGTAATTTTCGAGTTTAACAATAAGCTACTTTGGACTTCGGGGAGAAAGAAATGTAGATGTAGTGTGTTCTGCTCGGTTTACCTCTGCAGTTCAGTCGTATTACTGCCGTAGTTTCTTATAGCTCCAATTCGTTTATTTCTCGGACCTGACTCGTTAATTTATAGAGCGTGTAATGTTGATCCGCAATATCTAATCATATCTGCATTGGCAGGAGCAGCGCACGTCGCAGTTACCCCTCGAGCTGGACCAACTCGGAGATGATTCCGCATCTATGCGCAGCGACACTGACATTAAGAGTGCGTATTTTTTTGGCATTCAGTGTTATCGAATGGCCACGTTTGTCCACAATTTTTCTAAATACGTGCCTTAATTTATATTCCAGTTGCGGAGAAGGAGAATGTCGTGTCACCGGTGTCTGCGAAGAGGGAAGAGAGTAACAAGCGGGAGATCAATCGGGACGGCGAAAAGGAAGAAAGGAATAAGAAGCTCCGCAAAGCAGACTCCAGAGAGAACATTTCCCTGTCTGTAGAAAAGAAGCAGGTATGGTTTCGATCATCAGCGGTTTAACAAAGATACTAATATTATTATTACATACAATCAAGCTGCTTTTAATATCAGATATGCAATGACAATGTATATTTGTTGATTCAGGCACCGAAACCACCCGTGACGAATGAGACCAATGAACGAAGAGCCTCTAGGGAAAAGGGTCCAGCACCTCCACCACCAGCGACTCGTCAGGATAGCAAGAGTGATGAAAAAGAAAATATTCCAAAGACTGCCGATAAACCGAACGCCGTGGAAACGTCCAATATTCGAAGGCCTGTTGATGAGAAACCAGACAAAGGTCCGGTATTGCAAAACCACGAAAAAGGAGATAAGCCGAGAAAAAGTAACGAGAACCAAAAGAGAGCCGCTGACAAGAGACCTAGCATCGATGGTTCGGAACATATAAAGGCTCCGATGGTCGAGGATAAAAAGAAAAGTGTTTCGGAACCGAAAAACGTCGAATCCAGACCGAAATCGGTGGACAACAAGAAAAGCTTATTGACGGAGAAAAAGGCGAGTTTAGATGAAAAACGAAAATCGGCTCCTGTTAGGTCGGACTCCATCGACGAGTGGAAAAAGCCAGCGTATGGGAAACAGAGTTCGTTGGAGGAGAAGAGAAGGTATTTTACTTCTATTTAAAGATTGTGAGGCTTGTTAAGTTGCATGTGCACTTCATAATTAGTTTTCTTTTAAATTCATGTATGTAATTTCGCTATGATAGGCTAAATTTACTACTATTTTGTGTCACATTAATCTTGCACTGAACAAGGAACAAACGGCAGAAATGCTTGTATTTTCAGATTCGAGCAGAAGTCGTCAGTGGAGGATGGGCTCAGGTTTCAGAAGCAATTGCCAAAAGAGGAGCATCATATGAACAAGAGCTTGGAGGAGAAAAGGAAGTCCGTAGAAGAGAAATTAAATGCAGTGTTAGAAAAGCGGATGTCTATTGAATCGGCGAAGCGTTCGAGCGATGTATCCATGCAGACGTTCGTACAAACGCCGGATGCCACGACTCCGTCCATTCTTCTCGATAAAAGCCCCGTGAAAGCGAGCTCAACGGAAGATATCAAGACGGACTTTGGTATTTCGAAGAATCGCAATCTCGCGAAAAGCCGAAGCGAAGGTTCATCAAGGAATGATTCACTGGAGAACCTGTCTGATGACCTCGAGGGAAAAGATACAGCTGTAAAATCCGCGGGCAGAAAGGGTGAAGGTGAAGACACGCCCGATCGAAGTACAGGCAGTGAACGAACGGATTCTACTGTAAACGTTTCCGTCATTACCTCAACGCCTCTAAGAAGCAGAAGTGTGTCCAGAAGTGGTAGCGGGGATAACATAGTTGTCATTACTGGTGAGTTTCTAGAAAATGACCATAAATCCTAAATTTTCTTTGGATTCAGACGATTCAGAAATTAATAACCTGTATTTATATTCTACTTAAATATTCCATAATAATTTAAAGTAAATTTTATAATGTCCCATAATAATTTCAGGTAAATCTCAACCGGAACAAGACATTCGCCCAAATACGTCAACTGTGAGGATAACAGCTGATTCTCCGGATCCATCGAACAGTCTCGCGAGTAACATAAGTCAGGTCACCGTTGTTACTACGCATCCTCCGGTACTGGTAGATGCAGCAGCTACACCACCACCTCATCGGCCATCACCGTCGTCAGAAGTGATTATAGTTGCTAACGAGACTAACAAGACTCAAGTAAACGAGAGCTCCACCGATGACGACGGCTTCCCGAGCTTGGACAGCTTGGAGTACACTCCTCAGGAGCAACCTATCGTTATCACCGACACGCCGAAGAGAATCGGCAAGAAGTTAGACGAGTCGGAGGTGATCATAGTCAGTCCGATCGTGGACGAGTTGCAGGATACTAGTCACGTCTCGGTCGTTACCGTAGGTGACGACAAGGAGCAAGTTAAGGACTCCTCGATCGTTAGTAAGCGTACAATCGTTAGGACGGGATCGTCACACAGCGATTTCAGTTCTACCGAGAGGTCCAGCTCGAAGAGCGACAGCGGAGACGACAGCAAAACGGCCATGGTAGTCTCCGCAACCACTATGGAGGCGACGGACGTCGACGACTTGGCCGATAGAAACTTGAAAATAATGAATGGTCAGATACGAAGCGAAAGGGTGTCCTTGGCTCGCGACGACGAGAGGACGGCGAAGACCTCGAAACAGAAGGAGGTCGACTCTAAGCATCTCAAAGAGAAACGCGTGTCACCTGACAGTTTTGAGGGGTCCAGGTCTCACAGCGATTCTGGATCAACTAGATCACATACACCTAGCAAGAGTATAGACCGTTCGGATGCCGAATCCATATCCACGACGATTAGTCAAGACAGTCGCGGCTCTAATAAGGAGAACCACTTCACGGGGAGGGAATCGCGTCAGTCGTCCGAACTGGACGACGAGATAGTACTACGCAGAAAGCCTGATTATAACAGGGACATCCCTAGACAAACTAGAACGAAAGAGGATATTCAGATGATGAATCTGAAGAAGAAAACCAGGAAGAGGACGAGGAAGTTCGAAATCGACGGAGTGGTCGTAACGACTACGACGTCGAAAGTCATATACGGAGATGACGAGAACGGGAAGGTATACGACGACCAAATCTTCCGAAAGCAGGAGCTCAGAGAATTGAAGATGCTGCAGAAGATGGAGCAGAAACAATTCCAAGACCTTTCGCAGAAGGCTCAGTTCAATAAAGACCAGCAGGAGAAACGGTTCGAACATGAGAGGCAAATTTTGGAGCGAGCTGCTGAAACTGATCTGGAAGCTCTTGCCAGACAACAAAGGCAGCAAATCGAGAGAGCCGAGACACAACAGGAGGCTGATTTAAGACTGGCGTCGAAAAAGATACGCAGTGAACAAGAACGAGAGTTGAAGCAATTCCGGGAAGGCTTGAAACAGGAATTGAGATTACTTAAACAGGAAGTTGACCTGATGCCAAAGGAGAAGAGGAAGAGCGCGTTCAAAATGCGAAAGGAGAAGCTGGAGGCTGAACACGAGGAACGCGAGAAGCTTTTCTTGGAGAAGCTGAATGAAAGTCACGAAACGTCATTGAGAAGGCTATCCGACAGTCATCGTGAGAAGATAGCGTTGATGGAGCGACAATTCTTACAGCAGAAACAGCAGCTGATGAGGGCGCGAGAAGCGGCGATTTGGGAATTGGAGGAACGCCAGATACACGAGAGGCAACAGTTGTTGAAGAAACAGCTGAAGGATACCTTCTTCTTGCAGCGGCATCAGATGCTTGTCCGCCACGAGAAGGAACTCGAACAAATGAAGAGGATGAATCAGAGGAAGGAAGAGGAGCTGATCAAGAGACAAGCCGTCGAAAGGAGGAATCTACCTAAAAGAATTCGCAACGAGATGAAGGCACGCGAAATGATGTTCAGGGAGTCCTTGCGAATATCCATGGCTTCGGCTCTTGCTCCTGACCCTGACGCCGAAAGGGAGAAACTGAAGAAGTTCCAGGAGAACGAGAAGAAGAGATACAGGGCAGAGCAGCAGCGTTTCGAGCTGAAACACGCGAGGCAGCTCGAAGAAGTTCGGGCCCAGAGCGACGCTACTATCAAGGAGCTCGAGCAACTTCAAAACGAGAAGAGGAAGATGCTGATGGAGCACGAGACAATGAAGCTGAAAGCGCAGGAGGAAACCTACACGAAGGAGCTCAAGGAATGGAAGGCACAGTTGAAGCCGCGTAAGCAGGTAAAAAAGAAACATCTTCCATTTGGTTCGCAACTTAAGGTTTCTTTTTAATATCCTTGATGCATGATTTTAACCCTCTATGGCTTAATTCTTTGTTTGTGTAACGAACACAATCAGAATAGCTGTACACAGAGTTCGTACATTAATTCCTGATGTTCAGTGAAATTAATTTTAATTCTACAGTAGCATTAACAGTATCTTTTCTCCCTGAGTCGTATAGGTTCATAGAGGGTTAATGACGAGCGTGCAGCATTATTATGCAAGTTGATCTCGTTCTCCCAAATGATTATCAAGAAGATCTGCGCTCAGGACTATCAAGTGATACGCAATCGAATTGGGAATACTTCATTGATTCCTCTTAACGCGTAAGAGTGGCGAGTCGCAGATTCTTCGGTTCCGGTGGAGAACTTGTACAGTTGATCCGGATGAACGTCGGCACTTAATCCAGTTTTGATGTACTTGTTGTAGAAGCTAGAGGCAGAACTGGCGACCGAAAGGGAAGCGTTGGAAGCCCGCTACCGGGACTATTTGCCCCCTCGTCTAAGTGGTTCTTCATTCGCCACTTTTGACATTTCCGTCATCTCGACTCCTCCCGCCTGGAAGAAATCTCCTCGGCTCTCCAAATCCATTCCTAACTCGCCTTCCCCATTTAGCATTCCGAGGGTGTCGCTAAAATTCGAAGGCTCCGAAACGAGCTCGCTGAGCAGCACTCTTCCTCGAAGCCATTCCAAACCCGACTTGGTGCCTCATTCTCCTCGTAGATAGTCTTTCGTGTCTTATTGGCAAAGCTGGGCAATGTTTGAAAGTACTATTCGAAATACCATTGAAAGTATAACGTGTTTTCGACGTCGTTTCCATACAGGAACATACACTTTAAACTTGTGTTTTCACGTGCGAAGTTAAAGTTCTGATAAATTTCGACATCTTAAAGTGCACGTAAAGACAACAAATACTACAGAAAAAGAGCAAACGATATCCGGGATAATGAAATGCATTTTACAAATGGATGTCTGGACCAGCAGTAGCGACCTTCAAGAAGTAATGTCTCATAGATACTTTGTGTTTTCATCCGTTGAGATTAATAATTGTATTTAAAATGTTCCTTGGAGTATAGAATGTTATCGATTTCGAAAAGTATTTTCAAATGAGCTTTCTGAGTCATGTTTGACAGAGGTGACGATTTAATTTACAGTAGTGCTTAGCGTGATAATGGTTCTGAAGTTGAGATTCTTCAATGAGGACCGTCTAATCTGGTGTTATCTCTGTCGAATGTGACCATTTTGTGTTCGTCCGTCCTTGTGGGTACACTTTAGATTGTTGTTCATTCATCGAAAGAGATCATTTTGGAAATCTCCGTACTCCTGCGTTGTCTTTCTAACGTTAGGGTATTCCTTTAGTCATTTGTCGTACAAATTCCCGGATGGCGATTCTGCATCTGTCATTAATTTCAAAGTGGTTACAAATGCCATCCCACTTACTAATACAGAATACAGGGTTATCGACGAGCTTCTTTCTCATTTGTAAGTAAGGGTGTGAGTCATTAAGAGAAGATTGTTTCCTACTAGTCCCTTGTCACAATTTAAATATTCGTAGTTATCAGGAAGTGTTTTAACGACATCGAATGGACTTCAAGTATCTGTTCATAACAATCGGAGCTTCTGTGTTGTGTCACATTCACGTCTACATTCGTTTGCTTCGTATTTTCGTCTGCGTTATTCGCTACAAAGGGCGGGTCCATTAACGCACGGTGTCCAATTTAATATCTAATAACCTTCCACGTCTCGTGTTCATTAGTTAATGATAAAAATGCGGTAGATGCAAGTAGAAAGCAAAAAAAAACATTAAGTATCACGGTGTAGCTTTTCTGGGTTTCCCTGGCGTCATGTTTATGTATTATGTAAATCGTGATCGTATTTTCCTGCAAAGAGATTACTCTTCCGAATACCTTAAGGGGAGTCGTTCGTAAAGATCTGACAATTGGATACCCGAAGGGTGCTGAAAAGGTTAGTTGAAATAAGATTATATTTGGGAATACGTGCGAACAGGAAAAATAAATATGTCAATAGAAATTTCAGACCGAAGTACTTGAACATCTTATCCGAAACGTTTGCATTTTTAAAGAGGCACACTTTCGCAAAAACGCAATGCGATATCACCTTTCTAGATAATTTTTCAGAATTTATCAATTACCTGCTTAAATGAAGAACTGGATTAATTCCTTGTTTTATTCAAGCATCGTCTCTTAATAACACGTAGCGTCAAATTTTATGACAATTACTTCAACCTGCAATGCCAATTGTATTGATGCAATGATTTGGATAGTAACATCAAAATAAAAAAAAAGAAAGAAATGAAAACACTGGTCATTTGAATTTGCTAATTGAACATGCATATAGGCTATCTAGCACGTTTTGGCAAGCTAATTCTGAAATTAATTCTTTAATGCAGGTAGGATGTATTTACTTACGTAAGCAGGTGTATTTATACAATAACGATTCGTGTTTCAGAGATTGGAAGAACAATTCGCCTTGCAGCTGGAGGAGCAAGAGGCGATTTTCGGACCAAGTGCGATACCTTTATGTCTGCCACCTGATCTTCCCGACCTTACACACCACACCGCAGGTTCTACACGCAGTTCGTTGTCTTCTGTAAGCGAAGGGTAATCCTTATTCTTCGATGTTTATCGTGAAGATGAACGGTGCTTCTTGCCGCGACTGGAACATGTCGTACATGAATTAAAGGAACTTCTAAGGAAAGGTTCACCTGCAAGGAAATAGGGAATTTCTTGTTCTTACGAATAGACTCGATGGTGAATTAGTGCTTTGTATGTATAGCGAGGAGACAAGAGAGCTGTTCGCAGTAATTCGTCCCAACCATCGATTGTAAATTTCATTTCGTGGCTCGACTAGTGCGCATAATAATGAATGGATGGATTTCAACGTAATGTTGGGGCTTGCTTTTGGACTTCCATGTTGTACACCGAGATGGGTGGCATAAGTGCACGTTGTTCCCCATAGGTAGGCGATTATTAGCAGACTCGACAAATTTCTGTAACATACTCTAAAAACGGCACAGGTTGAGACTAATTATTGTCACTTCGATTGAGTTCGAGTGGGGTGCATAATCTCACCCGTAGTTCTTAAACAATGACAGACGCTACTATGGAAACCCGGGCAGGCTCCTTCAATGTTTCTTCTTTTTTTTTTCCTACTATGACGCACCCGAACTTGTACATAGTGCATTGTCTTTCCTTTCTTTTCCTTTCTTTTTTTTTTATGAAGCTTCTAATACGAAAACGCGTACGTCGATTTAGGTGACTTATTCCGCCCGATCAGCGTTCGAGATAACGCAAAGCGCGTAACACGTTGATTTCTTTTATATGCCTTGTATGATATGTGAAAATGAAATTCATTACCAATTCGAGTGGGATTGAATATATCAGATTCGTTGATATGTTGTAGCACGAGGCTGGAAGTCCAATGCCGGACGTGGATTAGACTGTATTCGGTGGAAATCTTTGATAGAGATACAAATTGCGAAATTGCGCGATTGGCTACCAGATAAATTTCTAGATAATGTGCGGAGCTTTCGCAACGCCTAAATCCTATGGATTATTCAGCGATTTATTGTGGAGATCAGTTACAGTCCATTCCGAATTTTGTATTCACTGTCGAGGTATTTACCGAATACAAGTGTTCCCGTTGGAGTTCTGTACGCACGTATGATGCATGTAAGGAAAAATTCGAAAGACAACGCGCGATTGAGAAGTCATACGCGGAGAGGATGTACACGTCTATGGGCTGTTTCAATTTCTCTTCCTTTTCTCGGTGAGAACTGTAGATTCCGATTTCGTGCTAGCCTACGAGTAGATGTGCCACCGAGGCATTTTGTAAAATATTAACGTTAATCACGTGTGACACGAATAACGGTAATGAATGTTAAAACTTAGCGTAGACTCGGAATGGGTCCGCTACTCGCGAATCGAGTATAGTGCACTTGAATTAGGGATTAGTGGTCTCGACAGAAGTCGCCATGTTCAATTTGGCAATATCAGATAAAAGTCAACCCGTCAACGCATTAACGAAACATACAGAGAGAACTTAGTAAGGATATATATCCACAGAAATATAATTATATAAATATATAAATATATATATATACATACACATATATATTTTAATAATGACAACGATCGTAGTAAGAATCAAAAATCAACACCAAATGTCCAAATCGTATGTGGTATTACTTTTGTTACGATTCCCTTGAGATTTTTGTGAGGTACTTTAAATGCAAACTTCTCAATGGAAACTTCTTTTCCGATGTAGAGAAGAGCGAAAGTGCGTGGTCGACTTATGCGAGACGTAGGTAAAGGTACATACTTGTGTATAAAGTATTTTGCGTACACTCGATTTCATTTCGCATTGGGTTGTCTACCGATAAGTCTAGTTATTACTCCTATTTAATAAGCAATCTTGTGTATATACCTGCATATATATGAAAATGCGAATCGTTGGAAGTCTCTGAATATTACTTACTTTCACGTTAAGGGATGCCTTTCGTTCACCGAAAGCAATTTCATTGGACAGCCTTCTTTGTAGCCTCGAATTGGAAAAGTTATGAGAATAGGTTTCAAATGATACGACAATGAAACTAATTGTTGGACGCGTTTGAATTCTTATCGTGTTTCTAACGAGGTGTAAAGGAAAAGATGGGGTTTCCCACATTTATCCGGATGTGGTGTTTCATGCTTTTTTGCTTGGAAGAATCGTTAGGGAAACATGATACCAAACGGAATATACTTATTAGGGCATAATTCACCTCCTCGGATTGTCAATAGTGTATGAAATAATAATTTTGGAATTTTTAACAGGTAAAATGTCGGTATGCTGGTCGATGATTGCGGATGTTAACTTCTGGGACTGGTATTATATTTGTAGTAAAAGAAAATACAAGGGTCCTTGAAGGTAATATTTGTGGCTATCTTAGGAGTACTGTAATTCACGATGTTCAAGAATAACCGCGGAAGCCGTTATATCCTTCTGTCCATAATTTCGCAACGAAAGCTAATGTTCCAGAGCTGGAAAGTAGTATGACTTAAGGAGAATGGTCTTTAATGGGTTAAGACATTAAACGAGCGTTATTGTACAAACGGTAATTTTCACTTGTACGCTGGTCGAGGACTTTTACCGAATCCTGCCAATTGAAAGTAATATCTAAGTCATTTCTCGAGGCAACGATGCAAAGTGTTATATGACATTTTCCGAGCGCAACATCGGGGAAAGCCACGAGATGACCTTATTCCACATTACCCAGCTGGTTTCTAAAATTAAATTTTCTTAAAGACTATCTTGAAGGAGAAAGCGTCGAGATGTTTGAAAGTTCCATCCAATCCCAAACAATGGTACTTTATGGAATAATACCTTCCTTCGCGACTCTTGCCTACTGCTTTCTCATCGGAGAATGCAACTGGGATGGATGATTATTATTCTGAAGTTGTACAAGGTGTATGAACTTGAATGAAGTTCCTTCCAATGCGGTTTCATCTCCGAGTATCCTTTTCTTACTTCGATTCAGGTCGTATGTAACATTTGTCACTTCAAGATTTTACGATTCCAATTGAAGCTTTAATTCTGTCAGCGGATTACTTTATACACGAAACGTTATTTTTCGTCGAGCTCAAATAAGCACGAACTTTGGAATACACTTCCGCTAGATTGGTCGGTTTCGTCGTCTCGTTAAGTACATTAGTTTTCCCATATTGACTATTTAAGGGTTCCCCTTTCTGCAGTCTGGAAAAAGAAAAAATATAAAACGTTATTTTTTCTAATCAATGACTTCCAATTAATTCCCAGCTTTCGGTGTATTTATAGCGTACTGGGTCACTAGGATGTTAAAGTTGTACAAAAGATACGGAAAGGATAGTCCTTCGAATTCCTTTTACGGATAATTATGACTCGTTTATGCCCTCGTTGACTTTGTTGAACTCGTCCCGGGTTAAATGTTGGACCTCGAGGTTGTAAGAAAGTAAGGTACCTTTAAGGAGAAAATTTATTCTTCCTCTCGTTGTCGAAATTTCTGCGAAGCGGTCCTCTCGTTGCTAATTAGTAGGGTGTATCCTTCATTCCAATACGACGTTCCTCGTTTATCTTGGTGCAGTTGTTCGGGTGATTTCCGTTTCTCTCCGAAGTTATCGAGCTAAAAACCGGGACACGTCGTTACTATCTTTATCTCTCGAGCTTACTTCTAATGTATATTAATTTCCCTCGTGACGGATCTTTGGTACTCTCGTTTCCCGCAGGTCGAATTGTTTTGTACATTTATAATGCGGGGTTTAACTGTTAATTACTTACTTGGTAATCGAGATATATACTCGTAGCTCTTGCGAAGGCATGCTTTTCCCAGTCGACCTCTCGTCTCGCACGAAGGTATCCCTTTATGTGAAGATGAACCGACCGTGGAAGAAGGATGTCGCTTGTAAATAATTCATACCAACAACGGTGTACAGCGCGCGCTCCGAGAGAAAGACTCATTACGATTTAACGTTTTCTTGTTAACTCTTACGCTGTATTTTTCCTCTTTCTATTTTGTTCGTTGTTTCCATGCTCGAACGAGGACTTTTGCCGGCATGTCCGTCGTCCCCGGAGCTGAGAATTGCGGTCCTGTTAAGCAAAGATAAATACGGCGGTAACTGTACCCTTTCAGCAATCTGGAATGAGAAATATTTGTTTTAACGGTTGCGAGTTCAGGAACTTTTCATTGAAATTAAAGTTACATCGTGAAGTTATTTCTGCGATATTGTTTACGAGACGCGAGATTGTCGTTTCGAATACCTGTATGCAGTTACTCTGTCGCTTAACGTGGATTATGCTCCGGTTATTGGATTACGATTCGGGTATTAGGTTGATGCATAAGTAATGGCAGTTTTTAATACTTTACGTTACGTGTAGAAAAGCGCCAATACTTATGCATCAACCCAATATGTTGCGGTCGAGGAGCGATCGACTCGAGCGAATCAGTCTTCGAGCTGGGAGTCCAGTCATTCAGCGAACTACTGTGCAATTGGGCATTGCTGAGTAAATTAATAACTAAATTAGAAGTTGCGCAAAATGCGTCTCGAGTACCTCAGATTATGAAATATTCCGGGATTTCCGTGGCAGTCTGTAGAGGGGTCGGAATATGTAGGAGAGCGATCGGACGACTCTTTGCCTATGTTGGTTTGTTACGCTTCGTTGGTTAATTGTTGCGTCGATGGTAAATTGTCGCGACAATGATTTATTGTTGCGACGATGGACGAACTAGTGCGCGGGAACGACGTTGTAGACAATTCGAGATATTTCCTGTAACATAGATTTTTCTATCATTGCTCAGAACTGGATACGATTTAAGTTCAACAATATTACTACGATTATTAATTATTATTACGAATTTATAATTCATTTTGAGGTAATATTACGTTACTAAGAAACAAGTAATAAATATTTTAATGCTACTCCCCTTATGCTCCCGTACGATGTCATGTTTATGCGTTCAGTATTTTTGCACTTTCGTTGAACGAGTGTCCTGTATTCTGATTGCTGAATTAAGTAGTTTATTATGTTTATGTTAACCCGAAAAAAAAATTCCCAGGATGCTCTAGCAAACAAGATCGACTGACCTTGCACGCATGCCCGTAATTACCCGAATCGCATTGTACTCTCGGACCGAATAATTCTTTCCAAGAGTAATTTTTCAAGATTCAACTAATCTTTAATCAATGTTAATCGCGAGGCATATCGATTCGTTAAATGTCTTTCTTTTCGGAAACGTGTAACAATGTGAAACTTGTCTGAAATTGTTACAGCCTGCGCTTTGTCGCGCTTTATCTTAAAAGTGAATCTTAATCGATTCTATAATACGCCCGTGATTTTTGCAAAGCTTAGAGCAGCGCAAGCTCTACGCGAGGGCAGCACAAGATTGGAAATCGACTCGTGAGCTATCTGCTGATCTGTTTTCCGCTCGTCATTCCCACAAGTGATACGTGCGCTTGGTCTTGTTATTTTTTGTGGTTTTCCGGTCGGCTAGGAGGTATAAAGACAGAAAGAGGAGGCAGTACGTCGTCATTGATGGTCGGTTGCATATATCGAAGCATTCCTAAGTGCAACGGCGATAATGGCCGCGGTTTTACCTATCTTGCGGTCGAGCGATTCGGCAAAGGTGCGCGTATGCGTAGTCGGCGCGGGCGCTGCTGGTTTGTGCGCCGGGCGCCATCTTGCGAGCGACCTGGTCACGTGGGAGCCCGCGATTTTTGAACAGACCAGCCAGGTCGGCGGCACGTGGGTGTACGATGAAAGAACCGGTACTGATGAGTTTGGCTACCCCATTCACTCCAGCATGTACAAACATTTGAAGTAAGATTGGTTTCCTTAATATCTTTTCTATAGGATATATAATTATCTTTTATCTGGAATATTAACGGTTTAATAATGGGTGTCTGATATTTACTTTGTGCTTTCTTTAATATCGGCTGAAGAGATTTGCGCCGCTAAGAAGAATCTTGAAATCTAGTCTTAATTATTCGGTCAGTCAGTTAGTGATGTATTCTCCTTTTCTGTCTAAGTCGGCCTCTGCAAGGTATTGTTAAATTCCAGAGATGAAAATACAATGCGTGGTAGGACTATTTAGCCAGTCTTATAATCAGATTTAGTGTTAGAGCATTTGGAACTGGTTACTTTTATCGCAAGGAAATTAACGAGTTTGGCGATTTTATATTAATTGTGAATAGTAAGAAGTCAAGGTACTGTTGGAATTGAGAAGTTGGGATGGAAATACGGAAATTTGTTTACTTTGGATTGGCGTGGATTTTGGGGAAACATCGTGGGTTCACGTGTGGAATTTTAATGTAAAACTGATTTTGCTTAGGACTAATTTGCCGTATAAAATTATGGATTTTCCTGATTATCGCAACTTGTTGAAAGACGACTACAGCTCCGCCACTCATCAAGAGGTGTTAGCCTACTTGCAAGCTTATGCTAATCACTTTGATCTTTATCGGTTCATTAAGGTTTGTTGTCTCAAAGTGAATTCGACCTGAAAACCAGAACAGATATTATATTTAGAATTACATTATTAATTGCAATTTAGTTTAACACGAGAGTGGAGAATGTTCGTCCCGTTGTCAACAGCGACGAGGGCCACACCAAATGGCAAGTTAGAGTGAAAAATGTAGAAACTCACGAGATACAAGTTAGAGATTTCGACGTCGTAATGGTGTGCAATGGGTAATAAGTGTTCAAAAAAAATAAGTAACAATTAGTACCACTTACACCATTAGAGGTGAATTTTATCATAGGCACTACTTTGAACCAAGCATTCCCGCAATACCTGGTGTGGGGAGTTTTCCAGGCGAAATCTTACACAGCCACTCATATAGGGAACCAAATAAGTTTGCGCAAAAAACAGTGGTCATTTTGGGAGCGTCAATGTCCGGAATTGATATTGGCCTGGAATTGACCGAAACGGCTCGTCAAGTGTACTTGAGTCACAATAAAGAGAAGTATATAAAAATCGATACTTTTCTGCCCACATGTTGATTTATATTAATTTCCATAAGTTTTACCGTTATTTTCCTCCGTGCTATTATTTATTTTGCGTGTTTTGTTAATAGATTAACCGCCCCCCTGCCGTCGAATATGATTCAGGTTGCTGGAATCGAGAAAATCGAGAACAATGTCTTCACCTTTAAAGATGGAGTCACTACCACTGCCGATGTGTTTATGTATTGTACCGGCTATTTGTTCAGATTTCCATTTCTTGATGACAGTTGTCAAATACAAGTGGACGATAATTATGTCAGTCCACTTTACAAGCACCTTGTTAATATCGAGCATCCTACAATGTGCATCGTCGGCATTCCCTCCTCTGTCGTACCGTTTCCTTTATTTCATATGCAGGTAAAACACGAGGCGGAATTCTGTTAACGTATTTCTAATTTTTAGATAATATTGGGTTAATGAGAATTATTTGATATCTAGGTCAAATACTTTTTGGCTCTGTTGCAAGGCCGCGTGGAATTACCTTCGAAATCGGATATGTTGGTGGACGCTGCTTTGAAGACACCGATGAAAAGACACGCTCACAGATTGGCCAATAAGCAATGGGAATACAACGATAGTTTGGCAGATGCAGGCGGTTTTGAACGTCTTCCAGCTTTCTACAGAATAGGCTATAATTCTTGGAGTCAAGAGAGAAACAGAAATCTGCTTAATTATAAAAATACAAAATTTCTGATCTCCGAAGACGGACAAACCGTCCAAATAATTCCTCTTGGTGATCACGCTTAAATTTCATCGTTTCCCTTCAATTTTCATCGGATAATGTTTTACTTAAGCGTTATACTCTGGCCTTCGCGAAGAACTTTAATTATGCTTTGCTAAGGAGTTACTATTTAAATTCAATTTTACATGCGTATGGTTGACAGAATATATACATACGTTTATTTGCTCATTATGGACCCAACTCCTAGGACCGTTTAAGAATAAAATACTATCGGAAGATGGATCCACTACTTCATTTTGATACGATTGTAACTGTAGGGCAGAATAAGTAGTTCTGAGTATAATTGGTCATGGGTCAATGAATATCCATTATGGTTTTACGTTTAACTCTTATGCATATTTTAAATGGTAGCACGAATTTTGTGACGTACTACATTTTACATTCCGGTATGATTCTTGATCCAGTCAACGAAAAGCATAACGTTCGTATAAACTCCAGGACTTTTGGCTTTTGCACACCCGTCACCCCAAGAAGTTATCCCTATGATAACATTATCGACGTTAACCAATGGCCCTCCGGAATCTCCCTAACGGAAAAAATGAATATCCCGAAAATTATCCGTTGACAGAGGAATATCACGATCCAGACATTTTCCTAAATCTAATTTCCATGGTTGAAATGTTACATAATGTAAATGTAGAAAAGTAAAATATTAGACTAAATTACAGTAAGGCTCACCTGACAAGTATCTTTTTCACCTTTTCTATCACTGTAACAGACAGCGCGAGGTGAAACATTAGCACGTCCTAAATAATCTTTTTGACATTCGTCCCAAGGCACTTTTGGAAGGATAACATACTCCAGAACGTCTGACAATTGCGACCTGAATGGCTGCATTCATAAAGTCCAAAATAAGAACGTTGATTAGTAGCTAATTGGCAAAGGATGCATATTTATCATCCTTTATATTTTTTAAATTTATTAGCCCCTTAGAAACCAAATGACATTTGTATAAATATGGTGACAGCAAAATCGATCCAATTGATATTTCACTGCAATGAAAGAGACGAAAGATATTTTCAACGAACATTACCGAAAAGTAACCCCATCCAGTAGCTAATCCCCAATTATCAACGGTTGATTCACGATCAGTCGGTAGTTTCACAGGCTTGGTGTATGTTAACTCAAATCGAGGTTCTACTTGGAATACAGCGATATCAAAATCCGTACTCGATTGATTGTATAGTTCATGTTGTATTACTTGGGTTACTTTATGTACCATTCCTCCGTGTTTTAAAGTTGAGCTGCCACTACGTACACTAAGGTCGGAACTGTAAAAACATTTGTATTAATTGGGGGTTAAACAAATGAAATGTAACCAATCGTTGATAAGTCGATTGCATTTCAAGAATGTATTGCTGTTATAGTTGCTTACTTACTCGTGTGTGGTACAATGTGCTGCCGTTACGCCCCAATCGTTATTAATTATGGCAGCACCGCAAATGTGATGGACATTTAATGCGAGAGATAGCTGAAAACGTAAATTCACTGGTTTTTCATTTTAATACAGATTATAATTTGTTTTTATAACGAGCGTTCGGCAATATTTTGTTAAAATAACGTACCATGTATGGTACGTCAAGGATACTGATTTCGGTACCTCTTATGATCCTCTTCTGTCTATTCGCCGATACACATTGACGACTGACTGCATTTAAAGTGCGTAATGAATATCGGAAAGGTTTTACAACGTAAAAGTGATGCACAATTACTTACATGTTGAAAGACTCAAAAGTACCGTAAAAAGAATGGTTTTAAAGTTGACTTCCATTTGTGCATAAGTAACTAGTAAATGCTTACTCGGGAAGCCGTGCATTTTCAATATGCCACGTTTGCAATACGTTTAACTATAATATACTACCAGATAATGGGAAGCCGTCCACTTTTAGAATTTTACAGTCGTATGACCATTAACGATAACATACTTCGGCGTCATAATTATATACCTCGTCGGATATGGCATTAATTGTTGCTGATGGAAAATTTTCACTGTTTCTCATTTCACACTTTTTACCTGCAACTTTATTTCCTTTCTTTTATATGTTAGGTATTAATTACTTAGTGCGTCGACGTTAGGATTCCTTTAATCAGAGCAATAGATTTTATTTGGCGCATGAAGCGTATTACTGGAACTATGTTTGTATGTTTTTTACAATCCATTCAACGAATTGTGAGACGTCCGTATAAAGTCCAGGGAACTTGGGTCGAGCGCATCCGAGGCCCCAGGAAGTTATTCCCAGAAGTACATCATTAAAAGTGACTAGTGGGCCACCGGAATCGCCCTAAAGTGATAACAGAGCAAGTATAAACAAGAAAGTTAAAAAAATAACTCGGCTACTTACTCGACAAGTGTCAGCACCGCCTTCCCAGAAACCGTAACACACGTTACGCGGAGTAACTTTGGATTTAACAGCGCAAGCATAACGTCCGTAACTGTTGTAACAATCCTCTTTATTAACTTTCGGCAGGGTAATGGATTCCAAATTTTCCGCGAAAGAATCGTCGTCAGGCTACGAGTAAAATACCCGAAGGAAATCTGAATTAATAGAATTTTCACGCGCCGGAAAGTGATTTCCACCGAAAATCCTACTATTTGTTAACTTTTTACTGTATTACGAGTTTCCACGAAATTGAGTTCTACGAAATGCAGTTTAGAGTTTGCAATGTTAAGTGGCTATATATCTCTGTTACAGGAAATTCGGGATGTTGACCTAGTACTACAAACTTTGTTACCGGGGTTAAATTATCATTTTAAGTTATTTCGTAATAACAATCGCCATGTTATTACGAGGGAGTTTCCCCTTGTTGTGGTCTATGTTTATCAAGAGATTTTTGCATAATATATAATCGATACTTACGCTGGAGGTACCCCATCCACCGGCTGTGCCCCAAGAATCGTCGTACGGTATAAAACCAGGCAAAATCAAGGAACGCGTAGTATTACTAAATTTAAAGCTCCCCCTGATTTTAAACAATGCAATGTCGTAATCCGTTGTTGAGCTGTCGTATTTGTTGTATATGACAAATCTAGAGACGTCATGCTGCGTTCCTCCTTGGTATAGTTTGGTGCTGCCGCTTTGTACGCTAAGGGTTGGTGGATCTTCCTGTTCGATTTTTTCTTCCTGGTATCTGAACGAAAAGTAAACATATGAGTAGATAAAATTTATAATTAATTGTTACAATATCTATAATCATTTTAGTAGGAACCTTTCAATACAATGAGCGGCTGTTATTCCCCATTTCTCATTCAGTATACCACCGCCACATATGTGTCTCCCGTTTATTCTGAGGGATACCTGAAAATAAAAATATTTTGACCGTAAAATTATCTTGCAAAAATTGCATTTATATCTAAAGAGAGAAATTGAAACGGCGCAGTCTTTCCTCTACGTTGGGTATGCAATAATTAATTCTCGGTATTCATGACATTATATTAAATATTACCATGTACGGCATCTCGGTGATTGGTCTTTCGACTCCATTTACGATTTTTGTCTGAATTTTCATGCTGCCATGCTGGAACGTCACTTTGTAAAGCAGAACGATTTTTTTGTTTTAATTAAATGCTACATTAAAATAGGAATATTGCGGTAATATTTTATATCGGGTTAGGCATTATTTAGGTACGAAAGGGATAGTTTACATATCTGTTCTTAATTTAAAATTTTGATTTTTTATATTTATACACGGTCACTGTATATTTAATTTACCGACTCGAGAGTTTAAACACTTACGTGATAGGCAGCAAAAGGAAACTGCAATAACTCGCGAACGAACGAGCATTTTTACTCCCTTGGGATTATTTCAAGTACTCATTTGCATGCCAAAGTCGCCGAGCAACTGTGGCGACGAAAGCTTAATGCGTCATTTCGCTTCATCACCATTATTTAATTTAATTCTTATCCCACTAATTACAATACTTCGATAACCATAAACGCGTATTGTGTAATTACTCTATCTTACGCTGACGTGTATAACACGTGCACCGGTGAGCTTCTCGTAAATAAGTTACGAACGTTCTTACTCTATCAATATTTATCCGACAGGTGATATCGCCACGATGTTTTTGGAAATTATCGCAAGCGTTGTCAGCGATAAAGAGCCATTTACAAGCCAGCAAACAACCCCAGTGGTCGATGGTGCTAAAGTTAAAAGAAAAGGACCATTTTCAACCCTTCACCTATCATTGGCACTTACAGGCGCTTTGACAATTTCCTAGTAATATACTAATAGCGCCCATAGGCGCTCGGCAATTTTTATCGTCTGAGACATTTGCATCTGCCTAGAAAAAAAAAAAAAAAAACAGAAAATAACTTGTGCTATCGAGAAGCTTCGCCGTAATACATAACGTTTACCGCATGTCATACTTAAACATAAACCGCGTGTTAAGTATTAAAATATATCGTATTATTAGCGAAAGCTTCTTAAACGCCAATCTTTTGGTGCGCATATTATCCCGTTGTTTTATCTGTATCATTAGTATCTATATCAATTCCACCCTTGGCGAGGTATATCGATACTTTAATTTTTTCCATTTTTCCATATCATAAGATTTCGCCGACCACCTCGATTCCTCGAAGTCGAGATCGAGAGTCTCGAGAGTCCGGCAACCCGTTCGCTTCCTGGCGCGCCAAGCGCGGCGTCAGTGTGCGCTCCCGCCGCAGGGTGGCGGTGGCGTCGCGCCTGCGAGAAACTACCCCCGCGGCTCAGTGTGACGCTCGCCGCGAACAGCCGCGAACCGCTGCCCGACCGCGGCGACCTGCAGCGAACTGCGGCGGACCCGCGGCCAACTTGCGGAGCGCGCTCCGGGCCGCTAGCGATCGCGATTCCGCGCGGCCGCGGCGGCGCTTTAAGGATTCCCGCGGCGGATTTCCGCGACCCTCGAGGATCTCTCGCGGCTCGCGCGAGTCGAGAAACTGTCCAATAGCGAGCGCGCGTCGCCGTGACCGGCGAGTCTCCTCGTCGCCTCGCCAGGGGGAGGAGTGAGAGCTCTCGCGGCGGTGAAAGGTGAGATTTTGCGCAGATTCGGTGAGGCTGCACCCATGAGACTTATCAAGCCAACTAGAAAATCGTAGGTCGGTGTCGCGGCTCCGGTGGAACGTTCCGTAGAGAGACGCGGCGACGAAGTCGTCCTCACGAGTCACGGGGAAGGGTCCACGTCCGCCCCCGGCGACTTATCAAGGTGGCTGTGATAAGCAAAACGAGGTAGTAACGTTGCCGCTATTGCTTTGGCGTTAAAAATTAACGAGCGGTGGTGAAGGATGAACTTTCCGCGCCGCCTTATCGCGCCTAGCCGCGCCTGTTAAATTAAGTGGTAAATCGTTATCGCGGTTCCTGTGACTTTTACGATTGCGGGATGTGAGCGGCGTCGGAGGATGAGCGAGGCCTGAGGAAACTCGACCGCTACCCGTGCGACTTATCGCAGTAGGTACGATTATTGCATTAAGTAGTAAATCGCTATCACCGGTAGTAACCGATATGACGGAAGAATCCCTCTTTCCCTCTTTTAGAGTTATCGCGTCGACCGAACGAATCGGTCGGATGTTATCGCGATTATAATGGCGCAACGAACCAGGGATAAGTGGGCGAGCCTCGGTTAACCCTTCGGATACGGAACTCTTTCGACGTATGGGCGAAATTCATCTATGCGTGCAGGCAACATTGGACCAAACGTCGCATGGCTTTAGTAGCCAAAGGGTTAAAAGAATCCTGATCGCACCTGTGATACTCTTTGCAGGACTCATGGCCTGTTTGGGTATAGAAACGTTTCTATGTTAATATGGAAACCCAGTCTTGGTGGTGTGGTTATGAAATTGTTAAACAGGAATTGTATTTATGCGAGAGGTCGGCTTTGGGGGGATGGTCGAGGCGGGTATTGATAAGGTTATCGTGGCATTTACAGGGATGGGGATGAAGCAGGAGCGGTGGTATTAAAAAGCGTCCAGGTGGAGTTCAAGAGGGGAGCTCGTAGTAAGGGTTGGATTTCTTTTAAGTATTCATGAGATATCGGAGGAGTGGTAAGAGCTGGTTTGGAGGAATAGAGAAGAAGTGAGAAGGAGGACGCCAGGCGGAGGGGAGGGAGTCCTGGTTGCATTTATTGGGAAAGTTGAGGCGAAACCCCCTCTGCGTGCACTCAATGAACACCCTTTATCCGGAGTGACTTCCATCGATTGATCGACGCCCCGTGATAATTATTAGGGATATCATTATTTCCGGTTTCACCACTTCCGCCATGGATTACGACTCCGATTATTCGCCAGGGCGGAGTAATGGGTCCATCATTTGGTGCGGTTCATTGGGGCTGTGGAAAGGAAACCTGGAGTGTGTTCCCTGCGATAATCGATACCGTTTCCGCGCTTTCCCAATTATTCGGGACGTTGAAAATAGTACGAAAAAATACAATTGCTTCTGCCTCTAACTCTCCCGGGGGCATCTCCATTTTCATCCTGGATGCGATTTTTCCCCTCTCCCCATGATGACGCGGGGTTGGATTCGCCATTTAGCCTGCTTTGTCTGCGGAATTTCGCCAATTCGCGGTCATTCGAGGCGTTAAAATTCGGAAGAAACTCAATAATACTGGAGTACCTTCCGGAACGCTCTTTGATGAGGTTCATTATCTGTGATTTTTTATGGAATGGGTGCAATGGCGGTCATCTCGTGCTTGGATGTTAATTGGGGATGCCCTTTGTTGATGGGACCCATCTTTCATTGAACTCTTCTCGATCGGCCATTTAGTTCGGTTTATGGGGTCCGGAAGGAAGCGTCGACTATCAACCGCGATGATCAGTCGCGATCTGAGTCCTGCCTTGATATCGACTTCGCTTCCTTCGTGTAATATTCATCTATTTTGCCCGATGCCTCGTGACCTGGAAAGAAGCCCATCGCTCCTGTGTTCTGTTACGCGTTTATAAACCCACACTTCTGAAGTCTCGTGCATTAGTCCGCCCTATCGCTCTCGTTTCCCATTTCGCACCTAGACGCGATTTCTCGGTTTTACGCGGAGAAGACATCCTTTTCTCCGGAAATGTCGTTAGAATCTCCGTACCGAGATCTTGCACAAGGGAAGGGAATTACTCTTGCCGGAATACCTCTTTGGATAGGTCCTTTGTCCTCGAGGTCGCGAGCTCCAGGAAGCTCCTTCCATTAACAAAGGCGATCCTTCTTCGTTAAATCGTTCGATCGCGCGATATCGAACCACCTCTTTCCGGCGCTCATTGGCCTCGAAAGGAGTCCATCATGGCGTTCCATTAAATCCATATGCATGCACGCTTCGTTCCCATACATGCCCCTCGCTCGTACTCCAAAGATTCGGGGTATTTTCCGGCTGGTTGAATTATCTGCGACCTCCATTCCCGCGTTATTCTTTATGCAAAATACGCCCCATTTTCCAGCGTATCTTTCGTCGCGTAATCGCGTTCTGGTGAGGCCGCGAGTTCGACCCGATCGAAGGGGTCCATTCGGAGTGCTCGCGGAGGGAACGGCGAGGCGGAACCGCGTCGGGCAGGATTTCAACCCGAAAATTCGATTTTGAAAAATTGACACCGACGTCAACCTCGGTGACGAGGAACGTCGCCTCGACGCAGGACAAATTTAAGTGAATTTCAACGAATTTCTGTGAATTTCAGGATATTTTTGCGAATTTCAGGAAATTTGTGCGAATTTCAGGAAATTTTTGCGAATTTCAAGAAATTTTTGCGAATTTCAGGAAATTTGTGCGAGTTTCAGGGAATTCATTGCGAACTCCTCCAGCCAGCCCGAGTCGAAATGATCGATTTCAGTCTAACCTCTTAATCCTCTTTATTTGATCGCTCGGTTTTGCCGATAGAAATTTCAATCTTATCTAGGTCACGATCAGCGATCATCATTTTTATTAGAGGTCCGAAGTTAAACGAAGCTTGAGAAATCTCAATGAAATGGTTATTCCATTTTACACAAGTTGGACCTGAATATCTTCGAACTAGTCGTCGTTGGGAAACGACGGAGGAGAACTAATTTTAGCGCGGTATTTTAATTTAAATGGACACAACACAGCGTATGGGATGAATTCATTTTTTTTTCTTTTTTAGATTTTTGTGAGACCACTTTCATTATTACGGACCCGATTAAAGTCCTCTCGAATCGATTGGGGGGATCGATCTGGCTTATATAGTTTCAGCAGACATCGCGTTCGCAGCCTTGGCACGACTCTCCGGCCGCCACCTGCGACGTTTGCAAAGTGCCGACCGGTTGCACTTGGACTGCACCGCAACGATCGACCTTGTCCGAAGTGGCGACCGGCCCTCGGCATTGTCCGAGGTGTCGTTGATCTACTGCGAGCTTTAATTGCCGAATATTCGGAACGTTTGCCAATGGATTTCCGATCGGACTCGCTGGCTGCTTGACGATTTGACGAGCTTCTCCGTGCTAAAGAGTCGATTTCATGGATCGCGACGTTCTACTTGCGCGTTGCACTTCTCGACGGGAAATTTTTTTCCAAGTCCTTTATATTTTTCGCCCGCAAATGTACTTCTCTGGGGATAGCAAGTAAACATTTGTCGGAAGAATTCTTTTTTAAATTGAAAGTCTGGACTGAAGGGCCATTTTCATGGATCGCGACGTTCTACTTGCGCGTTGCACTTCTCGACGCATATTTTCCCCAAGACTTTTATATTTCTCTCCCGCCAATTTATTTCGTTGACGATGGCAAGTAAACATTCGCCGCAAGAGTCCCTGTTTAAAAAGAAAGTCCGGGTTGAAGGACCATTTTCATGAATCGCGACGTCTACTTGCGCCTTGAGCATGCACTTTTTCGCGCTGAATTTATATTTTTCTCCAGCCAATTTACTTCGTTGACAATGCCATGTAAATAATTTCACTGTCGCAAAGATTCTTTCTTTACAGAAATTGATGTTTTTCGCTCAGTGTAGAGACCAGCGATATCTACAAAACTAATGAAATTAAATATACATCGGGTTTCTCGTGTATGCCTTTTTTAATTTTATCAATTCGTTAGCGTTGACACAATTTTACGTTGCGTGTCCCCATAGAAATGTGTGCATTCTTGGGTTGATTTACTCTACGTACTTATCGTAGGCGGCGGCGCATTATGTATTAAAAAAAAAAAAAAAAAAAGAGGAAAGTGGGTATTATATGGGGATGCGTATAGCCCGACTCTTCTGATGCAGTTTGCACTCTTTTTACGTGTTGCACCTTTGTCATGGCTATTCGTGCTGGACGAGTATACACGCAGGGGTGGAATTACAATGGTCGTTTCCATCTTATCGATTTAAACGAGACTCTTTATGCGCCGGTGTATAAAAGTAATATCTTTTCCGTGTTAGGTTATTATCGCATTTTCCTGCCGGAATAATCTAATTAGCCGATCTGTTGTTCATGGCAGCAATTGGTTGCCATCGGCGGGCAGACTATTGATCGTACGGTATCGATAGGCTCGAAATTCCGATTGCAATTATAATTTTCCTCCGGATTGTTCTTATTGAGCCTAAGTCAATTGTTTGCGAACTAATTAAAGCGTTAATCGGCACACAACGCGGCGGGATAAACGCCGGACTGCGAGACAAAAGATTCGTGAATAATAACCGGGGGAGAACAAAACCGTGTAATGGCCAATTAAGTGAAATCAATCGAAACGGTGTAAAAAAAAAATAGCGCAGACATGCTGCAAGAGGGACGTACGCGTGGTGCATTTATTTAATGCGACCTCGTTTGGATTTCAACTAACTGGGTCGCTGATATAATTGTTCACGTGCAAGTGCAACTATCGGGGGGTTAGAAGTTCGCGAAAAAGGGTCTTGAAAATTGATTGCGCCCCCTAATGAATATTTCCAATTTGAGATGATATCGATCCACCGTACGGCCATTCTCGCTCATACTTTTCTTCTTTTGCATTATTTTCGTAATCTCTCCTCGCCTTTAAACGTGCAAGAAATAATTCTTGGACGGGAAGGAACGGTCTCTCTGCGTTCGGTATTTCGATTCTGGAGAGACCTATCAATTGTCGAACCATTCTTTCGTATTTCACTCCACACTTTAACGCCTTCTATATCGTTTCTATTCTTTTCCCTCGTTTTTACGCCTCCAAGGAGATATTTTATGTCTGTGGTCTCCCCACTGTGTTCGATATTTCGATTCGAGCGAAGATTATCGAATGCATGAACATCTGCCAGTTCGCTTAGTTCCCTCGTTCTCTATGCATTTCTTGTCATTTGCATTCTCCATCTTTATCGGAGACCCCGGAAACGACATCTCCACCCTTGCGAGTGTCTTCTCCCGTTCCATCCTTAACCCAAGTATCTGCACATAAATGAGATTATTAGATACTCTTGTTTCCTTCACCTCCATTTCCGCTTTCGATTTTCGACCTTTCCTCCGTTCGGCTTTAAAATGTCGGGAAATTGCACTTCCCTTTCCACGGTGCTCTGTCCGGGT